ACATCAATAATTTGGATGAGTTTCAAGTTTCTGATGACAAGAACCAAGGTGTGCACATATCTAGGTTTTATTAAATGTTAAATAATCACATGTCCATTCCAACAGACCATTAAAAATTGGGCACACTATCTCTTCAAAGAGGCCCTAGAAATAGGCCTCACCCTAGCCCTGGCCAGAATGGTACTAGCTACATTTCTTAAGTGTAACTATGAATGGTTACTGCTCAAAGTACTGTGCCAGGATTAACTCATTTATTCTTAAAAAACAACAAAATTAAGTAGGTAGCATTATTATACCCACCTTAGGAATGTGGAAGGTGAGCCATTGACCAAGTACGTGGCTGAGTGAGACCCAAGCCCAGGCCGTATGAACTTTACTGTTTCTCCTGGTATGAAGCCTGTGAAGTCAGTTTCATAACAGCCCAATTCCCTGCCTGAGTTCTGAACCAGTTGAGAAACAAGATAACAGTTAGCAGGAGGCTAAAACATCACTTTTATTAATGTAGAGACAGTGCTGGAAGAGCGTAGCCTATGTGAAAGCCAAAATAGACTGGCCATCTGCCCTGCCTCCAGGCTAGACCTTGCCACAGCCATCTGCTGTCACTGATCTGGATGAAAAGAGAAAGCTAAAGAGACGTCATTGAGAAATGAGGACCAATGGCTGGCACCTTCTTCCACAAGGGATGGGAGAATAGGGAGTGGGATAAAAGGCCAAGAGTGTTCATTTTATTTTCTATATCAGTAAAGATTCTATCTGGCTTCATATAACAGGGAAACTCCCAAACAATAGTAGCTTAAATAACTTAGGTGTTTAATACTCTCTTCAGTAAAAGAATTCTAGAGTTGGAGAGTCTACCATTCCTAGAATGCACTCCTTGACCTCATGGTTCAGTATAGCTGCTGGTACTCCAGCCATTATATCCACATTCCAGACAGCAAAATTTGGAAGAGAATGAAGAGAAGAGCATGCCTAGGAGTCCCATGTATTATTTCTATATATATTTGGGCAGAACCTAGTCAAAGGGCCACTCCATATGTTTCTGTGAGCTGTTGCTACATAACAAACAACTACAAAATTTCAGTGTCATACAACACTAAACACATATCTGCAGGTTGGCTGGGGTTCAGTTCATCCATGCTGGTCTCAGACAGACAGTCCTGCTTCAGGTTACAGTGGCTGGGCTGATTCCATTTCTCACTGCAGATTTGTGTTTCAGTTGAGTGACCATCCCATGTGCCTTTCATGTTCTTTGGGTTGATAGGCTAGCCAGATCTGTTCTTCATGGCCCAAAGAGACACCAAAGAGCAAATAGAAATAGGTGAGGCCTCTTAAGGTCTAGACTCAAAACTGGCACACTGCCACATCTGTTCACATGCTATTAGCTAAAGCACAGATGAATTGCCAAGCCCCAAATCAAGGGTGAGACATATAGTCTACCCACAACAAGGGCATAGCAAGGGTGTGGTTCATGGGTGGTAAGGGCAGAGGGAGTGGTAAATAAGTGAAGCCAGGTCAATCTGCCATACTTGGCTGCAAGGGAACCAGGAAATGTCATGCTTTGGCTGGGTGGCAACAAGCCTGGCTAAAATCAGAGGTGTTACTAAAAAAGGGAAAAGCAGAAATTCAAAGGCAGTTACCAGTTTCTCCCCCACACTCCCTCACATGGTGCTAACTTCATAAAATATCAGTACTTGCCTAGTACAAGTTCCCTGTCATTTTTGTCCTGACCTCAAGCCTGTGTATAGAAATAAGAAGCACTCACAAGAAGGCAAAAAAAAAGGAGGTTCACAGTGAGATTGTCATGGGCCTGTGCTTAACAGCAATCTCCACTCTTGAGTAGGTGAGACAGAGGGTTTTTTTTTTTAAATATAGTTTGTCTCAAAGCCCTAAGCCCAGAAAGATCATATTCATACAACCTTAGCAGGTAAGATCCAAACCTCTCTCTGTGCACCTCTCCTGAACACCAGCAATGAGTGCCACGTGATGGAGATGACTGGAAGCCTGGAGGCAAATTGTGCAAGTGAATATGTTGCATAATTGCAGAATGCCTCTGCCTCTGTTTCCTGATTGAAATGAGAAGGCAAGAGAAATCAAGTTATGGAATAAAAATACCTGGGCTATCCTGAGGCCCCTGAGCCCATGTCCAAGACCCCCACATACCCCAGCACCCCCCGTGGACTCCCAGACTTTGCCATGATCCAGCAACTCACATGACAAATCCTGGGAGAAGAGTAACCAGGCTGGTGCTCCGGTCTCACTGCTGTATCTGTTCCTATTGGTTGCTGTCATCGCCAAGCTGACTTCTCAAATTTTTAAACATAAAACTTAATGGTGCCAGTCATAGGCGTCAGAAAGGAGATGCTCTTCCAGAAGACCCTGAGATGTGTTACCTGGTGTCCTGAAATTCACTCCAGAAATTTCAGGATTTCAGAAAGGTGATTTCTTACCTACTCCAATCCATCCTCAACACTGCAACTGGGTTAATTTTCCAGACATACAGATCTGACTCTGACAGTAAATATCCAACACTGACATGGGATGTTACTGATTTTTTCTTTTCTTAAAATCAACTCCCAAGTGCTTGGAAGGATGTTACTTTTATAAAACAATTTTAGCTACAAAATTTAATTTAATTCTCATAGCAACTATGTGAGATGGGTATAATTTCCAATTTTATAAATAAGAGTATTGAGATTGCATTATTAAAGGAAAGAGCTGACACTTGAACCCAGGGCAATGCTCTGTCTCTGGACAATGGCTGCCTCTGCTAGAAGATCTCTCTCCACTATTCAGTAACTTTTGATGACTCCCTGTGGCCTGTCAGGTAATTGTCTGAACTCTTCATGTTGGCATGGAAGGTAGTTGACTATCGATCAGCATATACTATACTTTCCAAACTTGTCCACCATTCTCTCTTGCCTCTTATTCCCATGCTGTCATTCACTTGTATTCATTCATCTGGAAACTCTTTCTAACACCCTCCTGATGGTCAAAATTCTCCACCATGTACCAATGCCCCATTTCATGAAGCACTGCCCATCCTCTTAACCAGAGAAATTTTTTCCTCTTCTCCTCCTCAACATGTTCTTATCCTAAAGCCTTCTGTGGCACTTGGTACTTGCTACTGTGTTATGGCAATGGGAATCTGTATCTTAAATCCCTACTTGTTTTAAGTAGCCTGAAGGAGACCTAGTCTTACATTTTCCTTGCACATTATGACACTGAGCTCTGTTCCTTGTATAGAACTAATATTCAATACTTGCTTATTCAATTTTTTTAAATGTATTTATTGAGTAGCTACTGGGTGCCACAAACTCTCAGGTACTACACACATAAATAAGACATTGAGTGAGTATAGTGTGAAGATAAATAAGTGAATAATAATGAAAATGTGATTCTCTTTCAACATTGATCCATACTGTATTTCAGCCATTATTTTCTCTTAATCCTACAAGTTTCTGTGGGCAGAAGTGTTCTGGAAAAGAATGAGGATGAGTTAAATGATCTGCAATATCAAAACGATCATAAGATGGCCAAGCAAGGTGGCTCACGCCTGTAATCCAGCACTTTGGGAGGCCAAGGTAGGAGGATTGCTTCAGGCCAGGCATTTGAGACCAGCCTGGGCAATATACTGAGACCGCCCCCATTTCTACAAAAAATAAAAAATTAACTCTTAAGTTTTCCCTATTTCTCCTTATCCCCACTTAAGGAAAAAAATATTTAGAAAGGTTATAAAAAACATAACAGCATTTCTAATAGAAATTCCATTGTACTTGGGATCTTCTTTGAAATATTGTAGGTAAAAAGTTTCAGGGTGGGGAGAGGGATCATGAAATACACTTGGTCATGAGTTGGTAATTGTTGAAAATGTGTGATGTGGACATGGGAGTGTTTCTGTTCTCTCCAATTTTATGTATACCTGAAATTTTTCAAGATTAAAAAGTTAAAAACATAAACACACATACACACACACACACACACACACACACACACACACACACTGATCAAAAGAATCTCAGGAAGGAGATCCAAGATGAAGAGTCAGCACCAATCTCTGCAGAGTGCACTTCTTGCCCTTTCAGGAGCATCATTGCTGGGAAGATAAGACATTACACTGAGTTTCATGTTCACCATGCTGTGTACCTGACAAAGTACAGTTTTAAGGCCAGTCCTGAATGTATTATATGGAGCTCTTATTACCATAAACTTTTCCCAGCCTGGAGCTTGACTGCAGGCTGCACACCTGTGCTCTTGGCATCTGGATTTCAGCATCAGCTTGTGAGGGCATTTCTTTCCCAGTGAGGCTAGCCTAGATCATCTCAGCTTCCAACACTGAAGCTGAAGATGGAGGCAGAGCATGAGTATGTTGTGCTCATTTGAGGAAGACAGAGTCAAGCCTCTGCGCTGACTTGATCAGGCAGCGGAGAACATGACACCAGACCCTAGGGCCCTGTCTCTGAATAGGGAATATGAGGTCTCCACCCACTCAGAAGGCAAGAAATGACATTTATTTTTCCTTCTAGTATAATTTGAGTTCCTTAAGATTTGGGATTGTTTTATTCCATTTTGCCTGGGGCCTACCACAATGCAGGAACTATATAAAATGTTTGCTAATTTGAAATACAGTTGAAGACTGACAAAATGATCATTAAAACATACATAATGTTTTAACTTGTCCAGTCTCTCTGTTCAGATCTCAGATCTACTCAGATTCTCCCTCTGTTTCTTTTTTCTCTTTCTCCTACTCCAATCTCTCTCTCCCCACTATGAGAGTGATTAATAATTCAGCAAACAATAGTGTATTCTGATGGTTAAAAATATAATAATTGATATTTGTTTCTGCAGCAGCACAATATCTTGTTTTCCCAGGAGGGCAGTTTTCCATGGCTGTTCCAGGTTTTGCACAACAAAATAGATCAATCTTGGGGATACCTAAAGGCTATTTATTGGGAAAGAAGGATGATGGGTAATGGCTTTGAACAGACACAATACTATAATCATTATGTTTTAAACACTGACATTTATTTAGGGTTTTGTGAACTCATACATTATTAGGGTAAATTCTAATTTATATCAGTATATAATAGGCAAATATATAATACAATAAATTGCATTTTTTTACATAAATACAAAATTTGAGGTAGGGCCTCAAGAATAATGACTTCTTAAATGAACAATGTGCCGTATATAATATGTACTCTATAAGATATATATATGATGCATCATTTGTAACATAATATATTTTCTTCATGTATAGTTAATGAAAAAATATAAGGACCTGATTAGGGAACATGTATTTATTCATGGGCAACAATACCCACAGAAGATGCCTGCATTTAGGACATTGTAAGTACACAATGTAAGAATTAACCTATACCTTTACTGGTCCATAATAAAGTGCCAAAAACGACAAACAAATGAGAGACAAAACAGTTTTTAGTCAATTACTAAAAATCATCCTAACAATAAAATACACCTATAAGGCAAATGGTTACCTGAAGATGTATTTAATCCACCGCAGGCAAGTCAACCCACTGCTTGCTTTTCGGAGGTGATGAATACCCAATCTGAAAACACTTTCTCTTTGGCTGCAGGCTGCTCAGAGATGACCTGAGCAAAGACCACATTTCAAAACTACTTGGCCTTTCTGGACAATTGAAGCAAAATCTGGGAAAGATGGGAAGCTCCCCTTTCACAAATCCTAGGGCCATTTTGTGGGGAAATGAGTATCAAAGCTGAATCACCCACACATTTGCTCCCAGCCTGGAAGTCTTCTGCATGACACCCAGTGTGAAAGAGAAGGAAATGCTCATCTGTTGGCTTTGGCCTTTTGGTCCTGCAAAACACTCTGCCACACAGTACATCCTCTCTCAAGTCATCTGCCTCCAAGAAGCATGTCACAACACAAATCGAGGTGCAACAACAGCAGTGAGATTTTGCCATCTCACGTTACGCTGAACAACAGTTACTGTGCCAGCCTCTGAGAAGAGAACAATGACCTACAGCCAAGGAACAAAGAGAAAAGAAAATCTTACTTTTAGCCATGGGAAAACCATGCTGACAGCAAAGGTGGACAGGAAGCACTGAGAGACGTGAAGATAAGGAAACAAGAATGTAATTGAAGGAAAACTCAACTCCAATGCAACATTAGCATAAAGACAACCCAAGTCCTATCCATTTAAAAGTCACCGTGTTAAACTCTTTTTAAAGTGCTGCTCACTGAAATATAAGTTGATTACATTTCTTACATATTAAAAACACATTGGAAATTTCAAAGATATTGAGGCCATCAAGATTTTGCATTGACCACAGACCTCATGCAATACATAAATACAAAGGAAAAAGAAACAATAAAACAGAACTAGACACATTTGTACCTGACAAACAGTCCTAAAGATAATAAAAGTTACTAATATGCAAGACAAACATTTGCATAAGAAGTCACAACATCAATTGTTAAGAAATATACATTTTTTTCTCCTCTAAAGATATGACAGGGTTACTGTTTTTCACATATGGCTTTTTTTCTCTGAATGAGTTTCTGGCATTTGTTGATGTTATGAAATAATCTCACAAGTAGAAAATGCTCCACCATTCTACACAGTGAACCAATGGAAGTCTTTCCTCAGCTACTTGGTTTTTTCCCCAGTCTGAAGGGAAATTTGCAGGTGGCAGTTTCTAACAATGTTATTCATTTTATTTTTATTCAATTTCTTCTTCCAATTGACTGTACATTTTAATAGCATGGAAACAATCCATTAGACAAGCTAAATTTACAAGGTTACCATTTCCAGGTAAGTTTGGAACCTTTCACCTCAGAATGTCCCTTTAAAACAAAGGGAAAATTTGAAAACTATAGTGAAAGGTGGGGAGTGGGGAAGCTGCTAAGGGAGCAGCTACTGTGTCTTACGTGGACAAATCATAATTAACACAAATGTAAATGCCCCCAGATACAAAACACGCAGCTAGCAACAAGGTCTCCATTCTCACAATTAAGTCAACTTTCAGTTTGTACAAAACAAACCTGGCAGCATCTGTGGGAACCACCCCCCCACCCCATGTTCTCTTAATCACAAAAGCAATAATTAACAGAAATTGGGTTGGCATCCAGCATCAGACTCAAGTTTTAGCCAAGAGGCAAGAGGAAAGCCAAAAACCATTCATCCTGACACAAACATACCAGTCCCATGAGAGAATGCTAATTGATTTAAGCTCTTTTTCTCAGCCTTCACATTGGAAAGCCTGCAGATAATTTCCAGGCCTAAGTTATTCTCGGCTCCTCTCACTTTACCAGGTATCAATTGGAGAGGATAATTTTGGGTACCATTATGCGACATCTGCTACAGTAATTGAGGGCATCTCATCAATATGGCTTTCTTGGAGAAACCTGTGTTCATGGCAGACAGATGAGGCCCCAGCTCAGCTTCTTAAACCTAAGTTTAGGGGAAGCTCAGTGTTTAGTCTTTGTGATAGACTCAAGCAAGTTCAAGCCTTGGGAGACAAGGAGGGGAAAGCAGGAGAATGAGAGGGGAGAACAAATATACACTGCAGACAAAAGACATGAAAACCTAAAGTTCAGAACCCATCTTTGTTTCCTGTTCTAAAACCTTTCACAAGCTACTCTTAAAAACCAGAAGTTCATATTGATGTTAGCAAATGGCAATGATACTTGCCCTAGAAAAGGGAGAGCTCAGTAAAATGAGTTGAGACTTTTTTTAACAAATGAAATCTTTTTTAAAGAAAACGTTACATTAAAGTCTGCTGTTGGGTTTCATTGCTGTTAAACAGGATGAAAATGCCGCAACAATATACAAGATTTGAACTGAAAACTTTGCCTGAGACCCTGTACCGTGAAGACAAATGAAGAAAATGATTGAAATGATCTCCCCTAAAGGAAACAATTTAGGTTTAGATATTATTACTGTAAGGGAAAATAAAATCCCCAGACTAAACTATACTAAACTCACCATTTCTACAGAATTCATAAGATATTTATAAGGACGGAAAACACCACTACAAGTACACACTACATGAACACGTGTCACATTTTTAAAATTTCATATATGCATGTTCAGGATACGAGAAGATAATAAAGGTTACACTTCGCCAATTTCTGCAGACATATGATCTGCTCTCATTAGAGTGCAGTTAAAATGAGTACTGCGAATAGGGAACTCTTAAAATTGAATCAGCTAAATGTAGTCTTAAAAGCTATAGTCTTAATTGGCTCACTTGCTACTTACCTAAGCTGTATTTATCAGAAAGTTCTATAAATACCATGTCCTAAAATGTATTACCAGTGCAGTGAATATTGTGGTTGATTTCTATTAAACTCTCCATTTCTTTGACTTCTCTAGGACCACAACTGGCATTACTGTGAATGAAAAAGTTAAGAGTAAAAATTGAGAAGTTATCTGCCTTTTAAGAGCTCGTGTCCTATATATATAATATATAGACAAAACCAGGATAAGTCTTGTTTTCCCAGAGGTCAAAAGACAAGGTATCTACAGCTTGTAGAAAGACATTTAGAGGAGAAACACAGGATCATGACATTGAACCGTGGTCTTAAACATCATGTAGAAACTAGCATGGAGCTCTACTATGGACATACAAAATGAGGCACACCTTCTGTGATGGCTTCTTGGGCAGAGGTGGAAGAAATCACCAAAAGAACTCACAAACGTAGTTATTTCAAACAAAAACAAGGGAAGAGAACTGACAGTTCCATCAAAGTCACAATGTGCAGACTGTAGTGTCTGAGTTAGGGGTTACGGGGGATGGCTGATCCAAATGAAGGAAACAGATCCCCAGTGGTGACCGGAAATGTAAACTTAATCACCTCAGTGGTGTCCAAATTGAATGGTCTTGTCTTACATCTGAAACATTTTCTGACCACTGCTGTCTCTCCAAAAATAAAGCCTGTCTTGAACTTTTTGTGTCTGAACAAGATCACTACATTGCTCAGTTTCATTCGAGTCCAAGTTAGCTCTTGTAATTCTGCCATTCTATATATGCCTTACTGGTACCCCCCACGACATCACACAGTGGATCTGTCTCTGTTGACCAAACCATGCATACCTACCAGCACTCACCTAACTGATCCTCCCCTGCAGGGTAAAATGTGTGCCCAAGGGACCAACCTGACCAGAAACAGTCACCATGGGCACAGGCAAACAGCGCTTTGGTTGGTCTGTCTAGCTCTTCACTACAGCATGCAACAGTACGCCTACTTTTCTACATAATCACTCATGCATGGATGTGAACCAAGATGTAGGGGAAAAGATGAGGAAAAATGGGAGGAAAGTTACTGAAAACGTTAAAAGGAGGCAGAGAGGAAGAACAGAATCAAGTCTGGACCATCCCACACCACTAGACTAGCACTGGCTGCCCAGTTCCAAATCCTTCACTGGCAGTTTGAGTCCCAGGGAAGAGGTTCCCAAGGGGTCGATCATGTTCTTGTAACGCTCCCCGCGGTGTTGAGCTAAGAATGGGCCCCAGTCCGGCTGTGGTGAGCACACCAACTTCAGTCTCTGCAAAGAAGCCAAAGACAGACATGGTCACAGAAGTAATGCACCTTCCTCCCTTGGGGATAACCCACCCATCCCCAAACTGGTTATGACCACTTTGGCCAGAGTCCTTGCATGACCCAAGAGGCCCTCTACCAAGAGAGGCAGTTAGGAAGATCAGCCTTCATGAATTAACTAGGCCAGAGACATTAAGGAGGACACTTAGTTTGGGTCACTTGAAATTATTTACATCGCCCTGCAAGCAATATTACAATTGCTCTGTGTTCGCCTTCCACAAGAGTAATAGAGGATAAAGGGCCCAGATTTTAATTATGCATTTTTTTCCCTCCAAATGAAGAGAATCCACAAGCTTCTCTCTTCACTGCCAAACACAGTCTGCAAAAGACATGTGCTCGATTACTTTTGCTCTGTAGTCTCAACAGTGGGTTGCTACATCAAAATAATTGGATTTTGTTTAGCATATTTCCCAGAAGGATATAAATGACCGGGAGGAAAAAATCCAACCCCAAAGATACATCACCAAGAGTGAGCAAAGATTTTAATTATCTGTTGACAAAATACACGCTTCTGACTTGGTTTAGCAGTATGGGTTCTTGCAGGCAAGCTAAAAATAATGGGAATGTCTCTAATCCTTCAGCTGAAATTTTATGGAACACATAACTTGACTGGAACATTTTCTAGAAAAAAGGGAAAGAAAACATATTTCTGACTACATAAGAGGGAACAATTACATGTTTATCACCTTTTAAAGTGAAGCTTGTTCTTATAGCTGTTAGTTTAATCTCTCCTTAATCATCAGTTTGTAACCTTTGTGTCCCAAATCTACCATAATAAATTTATATAGCCAACTCATCAGAGAATTTTAGCCTAAGACAAAAGTAGCAGAGGCTAAACCAGGTTCTATTCAGAGGGAAAGAGATTTCTGGGTCAGTTGGTGGGGAGGCTTACGTGGGGCAGAAGTGAACCATCCCTGGAGGCCCATGGGGCCAGTCATTTATCTGAAGGAAATAACAGAATTTCCTGAGGTTGGGAACTGGAATACAGTTGAAGTAAGAAGACTCCTATACCTCCTTTGGCTAATTCTATCTCCACCGTTAGTCTAATGAAGACAAAACTACCCCACCCAGCAGACTTTTGTGTTGTGCGTGTACCACATGCCTGATTTCCATCCTCTATCTCCCCTCTGGAGCCTCATTCTAGAGGCCTGGTCCTTTTTCATTCCTTTTTCAACCCAGCTGACCAAGAGCAAAACCCAAACTGTTCTCTGCCTTCTATCAGCTGAGTCTAATCCAATGTTTCACTAACTGGGGGGCTTGTTAAACTGTAGATGCCAGGGTTCCACTTCCCCAACACTCTGGTTCAGTAGTAGTCTTCTGCCTGGAGTCTGATCATGTGCATTTCCAACAAGTTCTCAGGTAAGGAGGATGCTGCTGGTCACTGGAGCAAACCCTAAGTAGCCCTGATATAGTCCAAAATGCCAGATTCCTGGATCCTCAAGATCAAGGTAGGGCTGAGCGATTCCTAGCACATGTGAGCAAGCGATTGCTCATAAATAACAAAAACCTGATGGCCCTTCACTGGTGGCACAAGAGGCAGTCCCCTTCTCATTCACTCTGGAGTGACAGTGGGGATTCTTTTCCTTAGAGATGGGAAATGGGTCTGTCAAGGGATCAATTGACAAAGAAAGACAAGCCTCATCTCATACGAGCCATGTCCTGAAATTCTCACTATATGCTATGGGAATAGAAACATTTTAATCCACTGAGACCCTCAGCAATCCCTAACAGAGGCACAACAGGAGCAAGTAGTGATTTTAAGTTTAATGGTAATACATGTTTGGGAGGAAGGAGGCTTAGACAGAGAGGAGCATCAGGGAAGGGGGAATCTGATGTGTGGTTAGAAACAAAGCACTGAGATTTAAACTGTGGATAAGGGGAGAGGAGGAGAAAACTCCAGGGAGGAGGAGACCTTCAGATCATTTATTCCCCAGAGCTGTCACCACACTGAGGACTAGCATTATAACAGTTCTGCCTGCACATTGGCTGAGCCCCTCCATTAGAGGAATCATCCATAATAAAAATGAGTTTAATAGAAATGGTGGCAGCTGTAATCACTTCATCACCAAGTCTCCCTCTTGAATAAGTTTACCAAATCTTTTGTTTTGTAACATGCAGAGCTTTCAGGGGCTGTCCCTTGGGAGGAATTGGGAGGGAAAGAGATAGATAGAATTACCTCAATAAATCTTCCAGGGGCCAGATGCATTTTTATCACAAACATAATTGGGATCCAGATGACAGAACAGGCGAGCATTAGCCATCCAAGCACCATGGACCAGTTAGGATAGCGGTAAGAGCCATAGGTCATGGGCTCCCACTGGTAAAAGCTGAAGCAAAGGATAAACTGGAAAGAGAAAAGTGACACACGTGTTAGGGTGGTGGCCTAAATTATTCATTCATTCAACACTACTAAACCCCTGTTACGAGTGTGATGCTTTCGTCTCTATTATTTTATACCCACAAAAGAGTAGTAGTATTAATCCATTTTTCAAATGAAGAGACTAAATTTCAAAGGGATGGAAATGACACACACTGAGCTGCTAACCCTGCATTTGTCAAACAATGGGAGCGGAACGATGTGCATGCGTGTATATACATACAGACAGGAAGAGAAGACAAGTTTAAAGGATATATACCAAAGTGACAAATGGACAGAGGTGGGGGGGCTCTGTCACCCAGGCTGGAGTGCAGTGGTGTGATCTCAGCTCATGGCAACCTCTGCCTCCCAGGTTCAAGTGATTCTCCTGCCTCAGCCTCCCAAGTAGCTGGGATTACAGGCACGTGCCATCATGCCCAGCTAATTTTTGTATTTTTAGTAAAGACAGGGTTTCACCATGTTGGCCAGGCTGGTCTCAAACTCCTGACCTCAGGTGATCCACCTGCCTCAGCCTCCCAAAGTGCTGAGATTACAGGTGTGAATCACTGCACCCAGCCAGTATTTTCTATAATGGGTAATAATCAAGCTTTTGTTATAAGAAAGAAACCCAGGCTAGGTGCAGTGGCTCACGCCTGAAATCCTAGCACTTTGGGAGGTCAAGGCAGGTGGATCACTTGAGGTCAGGAGTTCAAAACCAGCCTGGCCAACATGGTGAAACTTCAACTCCACTAAAAATATAAAAATTAGCCAGATGTGGTGGTGTGTGCCTGTCATACCAGCTACTAGGGAGGCTGAGGCAGGAGAATCACTTGAACCTGGGAAGCAGAAGCTGCAGTGAGCTGAGATTATGCCACTGCACCCCAGCCTTGTTGATAGGAAGAGACTCCGTCAAAAGAGGAAAAGAAAGGAGAGGAGAGGGGAGACCCATTAGGTTTATGTATTTTTATTTTTAAAAAATTGAATCTACTTTGCTTTCTTCTGGAATGAGAAATGGCCCACATCCAGGAACTGCCACTAACACTGGCTGAGTGAGATCCAGAGTGGTCCCCAGGCAGTGACTGAGCTGGAAGCTTGGTCCCATAATAAACTGTGGGACAAAGAGAAGGGATGCACAGCTCCCCTTAAATGACTCCAGGAGAACAGGCATCATCACCACATGGTGAGCTGTGAGCCCAGAGACCAGCAAGCTAATCTTGGCCCAACAACTAATTAGCTGAGGGACCTTTATGTCTCAGACTTCCCCGCTATAAAATGGATATATCTCGCTCTGTGTATACAACACAGGGGTTTTCTGGAAATGATAATTTGGTATTTACTCATGAGTCCCCCCTCGATTTTAAGAGGGGTCATGATGTGTTTTCTGCCCATTAACTCCTATCACTGCACACTTGGGTTAGCAACAGCAATGAAAACCCCTCTGAAGACTTGACCAGTGCAGCTAAAGAGAAAGAAAGGAATCCATGTGCTGAAAATAAAGGCATCTAGGCCAGTCATGGTGGCTCATGCCAATAATCCCAGCACTTTGGGAAACTGAGGTGGGTGGATCACAAGGTCAGGAGTTCAAGACCAGCCTGGTCAAGATGGTGAAGCTCCATCTCTACTAAAAATACAAAAAATTAGCCGGGCATGGTGGCGCAGGCCTGTAATCCCAGATACTCAGTAGACCAAGGCAGGAGAATAGCTTGAACCCAGGAGGCAGAGGTTACAGTGAACCGAGATCACGCCACGGCACTCCAGCCTGGGCAACAGAGCAAGACTCTGTCTCAAAAGCAAGTGAGACAGACAGAGACAGAGAGAGAGAGAGAGAGAGAAAAGGAAAAGAAAACAGAGACATCTTTAAAAAAAATGGAGCCAAGGTTCTAACTTTTCTACTCAGGCATTTGGGGAGAAATTTTCCTGAAAATTGTATGGCTCCCTATATTCACCCTGCCTATAGCAACATCAACCTAGAATAGAATAATTTACCCATATAAGTCCTTTCCTCTTCTCCCCACCCTTCTCTTCCTAACTTAAACCACAAAATAACTGCCCGAGTGATTGGAAGGGAATTTTGCCAGGAAATACATTAAATGAAAGTGTTTTAGAAAAGTGCGAAGTGCTAGATGAATGTAAGGTGTCTGTATTATTGCTGCAAAGCCCAAGCAGCTGGGGTAAGTGATGATTTTGATACAACAATAATTCAATATATTGATTCAAAGCAACATAAACCCGAAGACAACTGTTGAAAAAAAGTCTCCTGTGGAAAGAGACGTCTACTGTAGGCCCCTTTTTAAACATTTGTCCCTAGAGTTATAAGCTTTATTAACCAGTCTATTGGAAGTCTAGCCTGATGTAATTATGGTAAGCTGCTCCATTTCATTTACTATATAAATAGCCATACATCTGCTTATATGCATGTATAATTTAGTAATGTGATCTGACTATGTATACAATAATTGCATGGAGGATATTCATAGCTCCATAAATCCATGACGGCATATATAAAAATGATCAATTTCATTTTAGGCGCTCCAAAGTACTTTAAACCCATAATCTTAGTCTATTCCTGCACAACACAAAAATCCACTTTACAGAAGGGCAAATAGCAAAAAGTAAGTGTTGGGCTAGGTCCTCTGACACTCATTTCCAGTTGCACAAATATGACATCAAACTTATCTGTGCAAATGTGTCCTTTGCCATAAATATCCCTCTGCCAAGTTAATTTTGATGAAATCCTGTCCTTGGCTGGGACTAGCCATGAGAGATGATGATGTAGCCACTGAGTAAGGTACTTTTCTTTCGGCAAGGCGGGGAGGGCAGTCAAAGAAAGTGCTGGAGGGAGACTCATCAGTGGACAATGATGATAGAGTCGACCCCTTCGAATTGTTCCTAGTTCCCAGCCAACACAGAGGGGAATCTGGTTCAGGATATTTTCTGGGACCTCTCCACAGCTTTCTGGCATAAGATTTGTATTAAAAACCAAATAAAGCACAATATAGTTGAAGAACTTTCTCAAAAAACAGAGCAAGCTCCTAAGATTCCTCTTCTCTGACATTCTGCTCACAAAAAATGATTAGGACTATTTGAATCCAAACTGGCCAAACTCTAATCAAAGCTTTTTAGAAATAACATGTAGGTATTGGCTTGAAGCTTAGACAGCCCCAGATTCAATCCTTGGCTTCGTCACCTCCAAATCTAGTGGCCTTGGGCAAGTTCCTTGACCTCACCAAGGCTCAGTGCACACATCTGGAAAATGAGAGAGGAATCACCCAGCAGGCAGAGTGGTCCTAAGCTTTAGAAACAAAGATGATAAAGTGCCTGCCTCATATAGACCACAGCAAATAGCAGTGCTGATTATTACTATGTTAAATGTTTCTCCAGAGTATAATGAAATCCTCTGAAGCATAGTATCTTTGAGGCAGGAAGAAAAGGAAGAGAGAATCTAGAACAGATTCTAACTTAATTTTAGCCAAGCATAAGTCATGAGTGGTAGGATCTGGGGAAGATGGCAAAGCGTAGTAGAGATGGGACACCAGAGGCCTGAGAGTCTGTGTGCTCACCCCACCAATTAGGTAAATCTGAGTTCCTCATATACATCCCAGTCCTGAATTCAAGAGACCGAAAGCCTACCCTTTTAAACCCTTTTCAACTCTCATGCCCCAAATCTTGTGGGACTTTTCAGACAAATTGCAGACTCTAAAATATGGGTACAGATGTCAGCCTCAGTATGATGTTTGTCAACACAGAGGGAGATCCATGCTGAGTGATTTTTCTGTTTACGTTTCTAGCTTTTTAGAAAGAAATTGAGATGTTCTGATTAAAACACATGAAGGAAGGGGACAGAGGGAGGGAAGGAAAGAAGAAATAAAGAGAAAATACATTCCCTTTGCTGTTTTATTTTCATCCTGTCTTGCTTTCCTTTAGCGAAACTGGTACCAAGAGTAATAAACGAAGGTCTTAATCTGGTTTGTAGTGCCACCTCCTGGACTCATTGGGAATTACAGCCAACATCCTCAAGCATTCCCAAAATTACACGCACACAAGCCAGACAGGAGGAATTGCTATGTTTGCAGTGCGAAGTGGGGCAAAGCTGGCAGCTTCTAGCACAATAACAAAAGTGACAAAATGAGTGTAAGTCCCTATGCAGATTTTCTGATATGTGAAAGGCTCTGATCTTTAAGAAGGTGAATGTCAGATGTTCCCAAAATGTCATCATCGCACTTGAAGATGACAAGGTAGTTCTCAAAAGCAATAAAAATTTGCATAAAAGTTTAATGCTGTATTACTTGTAGAGAATCTGTGTTGAACAGCGATTAAAAGCATAGATTCTAGAGTCAGACCACCAGAGTTTGAATCCAGGCTCTTGCTAATTATTAGATGTACAAGGTAAGGCAAGTCACATCAACTCTGGGCTTCAGTTTCGTCATCTGTAAAGTGCAGATAATTATAATGCCAACCTTGAAGAACTGCTGTGAGGGAGAGATGAGGGTATACATAGGAAGCACTGTGAACAAAGCCTACAGCATGGTTAGCACGTGGAAACGTAGCTGTGATTGTAATCTACTGTTAGAATATAAAGCAGACTGATTCGATGGGAAATGTGCCCAAAAACCTGCACATGAGTCCCAGTTCTGCACCTGACCTGCTAGGCACCTTTAGGCAAGTCTTTTCAATTCTCTGAACTTCAGTTTTCTCATTTGCAAGACAAGACCACCACCCATCCCACCAGCTTCCAGGTTCACACACAGGCACGCACAGTTCAAACGTAAAACACCACATACATATGCAAGGTGCTATCTGCACAAGACAACATGCAAAATCCTTACAGTTAAGATGGTTGGGGTTACAAATGCCCAGCAGACTTTCCAAAACATGTTGGGCTGGAATCCAATCATCATCTCTATATCTTCACAGAATCGTTGCAAGCCTGCAAATAAACAAAGCAGAGAACAGGTATAAGCCATGGTAGCAGGAGGGTGAGGTGGGGGCAAGGCAGGCACTAGAGCCCCTCACTCAAGCACCATTGGCTAGAACTGGCCCCAGCCCGGTATCAACATGACCCCTATTGTGCAGGGAACCATCATACAAATGACTCGCTGCCAGGAAAATTAAGGCAAATTGAACACTTAAGTAGATATTAAATATGCTCTGTAGTGAGGTTCAAAAATGTCAGCCCACGGTGACATCTAAAAAGCTCCGGTCCAGCCTGGCCCCGGCTCTCAGCACTGCCACCATCTGACATCTCACATGTGCAGCTATTTTCTGAGATGCTTAGTGACAACTCTGGCAACACCAGTGAAGACTGTTTATTGGGGAGACTGGGCCGAATGAACTCTTAAGGCTTTTCCAGAGAGATCAATCCATGACACCAGGACACTCCAGGTTGCTTTCCTGGGTCTACAGTCAAGAACTGCATGTTTTGAGCAGCTGACCTGATCATCTTTGGATTTGTTAGTCTCCTTTCATTTTTATTACACACCTCCAAATGAGTAGCTTCTGAACACTAGGCCCTCTGAGTATAAGTGAGGGGAGGAAATAAAATAAATACAAGTAAAAGCTGAGGCCCTCAAAAACATATATAAAGCACCAACAGCATGCCCAGTTCTTTTTCTAAAAAAAGAGATTCTAAAAACTTCTGTTATTAGCATCAATCCTGTTTCCACATTGTTTCCATTCATAAAACCATCCCCAAGAGCTGGTGGTATGTGGCTTGAATGGGGCACTGATATGATAAGGCTCCAGGTTAGACCCAAGGACTACACAAAAACAGCCTCTTATAAGGGGAGGGGATCACGACAAAAGTGCTCAAGCTCTCCAAGGCGGGATGAAGAGCTGGACCCCAAGCTGTAGGAAGGGATGGATCATGGGTGCTCAGTTTTCAGTTTTCAGCAAGAGACAGCTTAATGCAGAGGAACAGTCCTGGGACCAAGAGTGAAAAGGCTTGGGTTCCGGGGCCGGTTTGAACCCTGGAAAGTCATTTGCCACCCACCCTCCGGGGCCTCACAGGAGGGCTCTAGACATGTGGCCTCTGCCCTGGATTAGCTCCAGATCTTAGGATTGCTCTGCCTGTCCTGCCCACTCATGGGCTGGCCCTCTAGATGCTAGGACCCATGGGACAACCCTCCTGCACCACGCCCATTCCTGAGTCAAGCTCTCCAGTTTCTCCAGCCTCTGCTTCACTCCCAGCACCCAGCACCATCCAAGTCCCCACCTGAGTCCTTCACTGAGTCAACAGCTATTTTCATCTTAGGCCTCTGTCTATATGGCTTCCTCTGCCTGCTTTCTGCTTTCCCCTAATCCAAATCCATCTTGCCTTCAAGGCCTAAACCATGAGAAAGGAATTGTTCATGGAACCTTGAGCCTGGGCAAGAGGGACTTGCCTGCTGCATTACCTTGAGCCTGGAGGGGTAAAAGACTAAGCAGTCAGGCCTCAAGAAGGCTCTAAGCAGCTGCTTCTCAAAAATGAGTTTGAATTAGCAGAAAAACAGCAGGGGGGACAAAAAGATGGTGAACTCGTGGCTATTATATTAGACTCAAACAGATAGGAGGCTCCGAAATTGGTCCGTGACAAACTCCACATGACCAAAAGGTCCTGAACTGAGAAGTCAAGGACTTGCTTAACCAGCCAATCACTTTCCTCTGTGCACCTCTGTGGCTTTTGCCTCTCTAAACCACACCATGCCCTTGGTATGGATACAGTTCATGGGGCTGCTCTCCCTCCTGGGTGGCCAGGTGTGGTTCCTGTCTCAGCACAGAGTTCTGTGTGCTCAGAGAGGAACCACACCTGGTTTAGTGCTCTCCTGCCACCATCTTGAAATTCATATATTTTATTTCAACAAGGGACTCTATATTTTCATTTAGTACTATGTCCCACAAATTATGTCTCCAGTCTTGTGTATACTTTTAGACAAGTAAATTCCCAAGTTATTCTTTTGTAGTTAATGTGAAGGTCCTCAGCTTAACACTCCCTAAGTCCCAGTGTTTATTTCTTTTATTTTATCTCTGAGATGCCACCTCCAAGGTTTTTCTGACTACTCTGACCCTCCATTATCTCTGGGCAGCAAAAGGGCTCACAGCCAGGGATGCACAGCTCAGTGTCTTACGTGTGCGTGCTCTTCCTCAAGAGCCAGTTGGCAAGTTCCTTGAATATAGGAAATTATCCCTTCCTCTCCACATTCTTAAAAGCCCACATGACATACTCACACACAGTTACCAGTGTGAGTTATTAGTGAACTAAAGCCTCTCCTTCCTATCGTTTACTGAGTCCCAGCAAATGGAGGTAGGGAATGCTACACTCCGAAATTGGTGCTGTATACAGTGATATTTCAGATAAAAACATAAGGGAAAATGGAGCTCAGGGAGGGGGATCATAGAGATATAAATTAAGCTTGAATTCGTAGAGTTTGGGGGAACACTTTATTTTTTTTTTTTTTGTCCTGTTTTGTTTGTGTTCTGTTTGTTTTGTTCCTTATTTTGAAAAATCTTGCTGAGTTCAGCTAGCAGGATGGGCAAGAACTGAAGACAGATAGCCCATCAGCCTGCTGTGAATCTAACATTTCTCACAAGAATGTAGATTTTAAAAAAATTTTTTAAGGGGCATGTGGGGGCATAAAAGAAAAAAAAAGAATGTGGAGAGAGGCCATCTTGGAGGTGGGATATGAAACAAGGAACTGGCTGACGTGGAAAACAGATCAAGACCACTCCACACTGAAGCGGGGGATATACACATGGAGAGCCAGGCAGTGAGCAGGCAGGAGACCTTGGTGGTGGCTATTCAATCGCATTGTTCCTCCAGCCAGAAGGCCCCTGTATTGGCTCCAGGAAAATGAAAATATTTTTTCAAATGTCTCTATTTAGGTGAAAGTCCGCTAAAGGGACCACTTCTACACAAAACTCAAGGAGTTATTCTTTTAAACCTGGATACCTCAAAGCCAGCTATTGGCGACTGAGACATGTTGACTTAAGAAATTCAAACAACTGTTTCAATCTAATAAATAAAACTTGAAAATTATACCTACCATATTTCAAATGTTTAAATGATATCCTCTAGAATCTAGAGATTATTAGAAACAAGAAGAAAACACAAATCTCTTCAATTCACTGGCTTATTTTTTTTTAATTCTCACGAGGAAGGTAGTATACCAGGTGAGTCAGGTGCATTTTAACCTTTCACAGGTTTATGTTCTACTATTTTAAATGAACCCTGCACTGGTTTGGGGCCTCGTCATCTCAATAAAGAATACACTGTCTTCTGGGATACAAATTACAGATTTGTGCAGACTTATTTTTTACCTCAAACAGTCATGTTAGCTTATTTCAACTTTTCTTCCTGAACTCCTAGAATCCATCCAGATTCAAATCAGAGGCACACACCCAAACCTGACACTGCAGAAGTCGGGTTCAACATGAGTCCAGCACAGAGTCAACCTGATTCTGGAGGCAAGGCCAACACCAGCACTCTTACTTAGAAACCAGGGGATTCCTTGTGTAGTTCCAAGGAAAATTGATATAGCCCAGGGACTAAAGCACTCAGGATTTATTTTTCCCTTCAGAACTAAGAAACCTATGACTAGATTTGTACGAAGGTGGAGGAAAAGCTATTTACTTAATTCCTAAAAACAGAAATAATAAGAGGTTTCTATTTCAATGATGTTTTAAGCCATACTGCACAGCCCTGTTTTATAGGAAAGAACTGTGCAAACGTGCCCTTTGTGGCAATCAACAGTTAGGGTATAGGTAACAGAAGATGTAAATGAGACAGTTATTTGCAGTTGGGCCAGTGTTGCAAATAAAGCGCTTTCCTGACTTTGCCAACAGATATCTGGTGACCTGAACTTACATGTGGACCCATGAGGGACTGAATTGCCAAAGAAGGACCTTGGAGGCTTCTTCTTGCCTCTCCTGGCAAGGCCTTTGGTTTCTGGGCACAAAGTTAAGATTCACTGTGATGGATTGATTTCACTGGGTTTCTACCACTCTCTGCTCAGGTAGAAATCACTTTGAAGCCTCACCCTAGCTTCGACAGCAGGTCTTCAATCACAGCATCGCTGCAGCAGCCAGGCTGTCTTAGCAGCCAAAAGAGCTGGCAGCTGGCTCTCTGATCTCATCAGGACAGCTGGCATGCTTGCCCAGTTCTCTTGCCAGGAACTGAACTCTCCCTGCAGTGGGGACGTGATCTTTAATCTGAGACAAATTCCCCTTCCACCAATGCCCAAAATTGACTGCAAGTATCATCCTGTTTCTGGAGTACCAGGAGGTTTACACAGGAGGTTTCCTTTTTCCATCTTGATTCCCGCTCCACCCCCTTTATTTTAATGGGTTTTCAAGAAAAGCAAGACGTTGTTAAACACCTGTTGGGTGGAGGCTAACAATTACATTAAGAAAAAGATGCTTGTAACAGGGACACCTGGAGGTTAAGGCGAGCTTTGCTGGGCCTCCAGTTTAAAGAGCAGAGCTCTATAATAGAACAATTTCTAATCCTTTGGGTATATACCCAGCAGTGGGATTGCTGACATGCACAGGTTTATTGTGGCACTGTTTACAACAGCAAAAACTTGGAACCAACCCAAATGCCCATCAAGGATAGACTGGATAAAGAAAATGTGGCACATATACAATATGGAATACTATGCAGCCATAAAAAAGGATAAGTTCATGTCCTTTGCAGGGACATGGATGAATCTGGACGCCATCATTCTCAGCAAACTGACATAAGAACAGCAAACCAAACACCGCATGTTCTCACTCATAAGTGGGGGTTGAACAATGAGAATACATGAACACAGGGAGGGGAACATCACACACTGAAGTCTGTTGGGGGGTGGGGGGGCTAGGGGAGGGACAGCAGGGGGTGGGGAGATTGGAGAGGGATAACAGCAGGAGAACCTAATGTAGGTGACGGGGGGATGGAGGCAGCAAACCACTATGGCATTTGTATACCTGTGTAATAATCCTGCAAGATCTGCACACGTACCCCAGAAGTTAAAGTATAATAATAATTTTAAAAAAAGAGCAGAGCTCTGCAGACTCCTCTTCCTTTGGGCTCCAGATGGTACATTTGTCCCTCAAGCATATCCTGCATTCCAAATAATATCTTGCACTTCCTTTTAGCTTAGAATATGTTGCTCTCTCTTTTGGGATCTTAGGTACAGTTAGATAGTCTGAACTGGATGTTTGCCTTCCTGACATTTGCTATGGTGGCCTTTACATTAGTGAGGCCTAGGGATAGTTCTGAGCAGACTTCCAAGCAGAAAGAAGTGAGTAGGGCCTTGAATCAAATAGCACTTTCTTGAACTGACTGACAGTACATACAAGGGACCAGGAGACACTCTTGAAACCCCAAGGAAGAAAACCTCCACACAAGGGCAAAGATGGCATCTGATAGCTCACCATTCCTGTTCTTGATAATGGCCCCACTAATACGGTATGCCAGTTGCTGTTGTGATGGGACGGCTAAACCGTAAGACAACTGGAAGTTTATTTCTGGAAAAATCTGAGATTAAGATATTGCATCACAGTCTCCTACGATGCTAATAAAGTTTCCTAAGGATCTGTGAGCTGAGTGGTCTCTGTTCTCACTACATTACTCAGGGACCGGCTACAAAATTACCCCTCAATTCAAGCAGCTTGGGCACTGAAAACCAGGTAATAATTTCACACCTGCAAAGTAGCCCTTCCTTCCTGATCTGCCATTATTCACAGGCATTAACTGTTCCCATGCCAGACCATACCCAAAGGGGTGTCTGAGTCCTACGAATTTCTGATAGAAAGATTTCTGAGTTTCACCACCAGCCAGCTCTTGTTTCTCTATTAAATTTGGATCACAGTGGCCTTGAGGCAAGTTTGGAAACAAAGGTGCAGCTCTCTTCGGTTTCCTAAATAGTCGCAATTTAATCCTTGTATTGTCTTATTAAGTGTGGAAAATCTGCTTGCCATGAATGCCTTACCAACACTCAAGCTTCACCTCAGCAATAGGCACAGTGATTTCCTTACCGTACACATAAGAGATCCCCACGAGCTCAAAAATGGCAATGATGACAAGGGCATAGGAGGCAGCATAGGTGTCCACAAGCTGAAACATGTAAATTCCACCCTAACAGGAGAGAGAAACAACCAATATCAAATGCGTCCTGGAGCCAGGCTCTCTTCCCAAATTTAACAGCCAATTCGCTCAATCCTATGAAGAGTCAGGTGCAAACAGGAATCCATGCATCTCTCCTCCTCTCAGTCGCAGTAACCTATACCTGGTCCAGCATGTAAGCTGGAGGCCTTGCTGTGTCAGCAAAGCAGTTCCTCAACAGGCTCTGAGCTGATCAATATAACAAGCACCAAAAAAAGAGATTTAACATCATACTCTTGGAAGGCAAAGGTCAATGTCTGAAGAAGTGTATGTGTGTAAACAGCCAGATTGCTTTAGTTTTGCTTTAAGCAATTAATCATTTCCACCTAAGTATCTGCATTTAATTGACCCTTCAATGACCTTTAGGCATCTCTGGGCATTTCTCACACATCCCCATGTATCTACCTCACTCTTTAAGTCTCCCTGCAATAAATGAGGCTTAGAGACCCTCACATTCCAATCTGCTATTCTACAGAAGAAGAAATTAAAGCCCAGAGTAGTTAAATTGCTCAAGGCCACAGGGACAACAAAAGCAATATATATCCTGAGTGAGCTAACACAATTTACCAAGACACTCAGGACTAGAAGAAACTGAAGTGGCTGTTGACCCATACATGACAGTAATCATCAGAAAATGTATCTGGTTAGTAAATATAGATTTTCATGTATTCTGTTTTCTTATTCCTAATTTTTTATTTACTTTTTTAGAGGCAGGGTCCCACGATGTTGCCCAGGCAGGAGTATAGTGGCTATTCACACATGCAATCAGAGCATGCTGCAACCTTGAAATCCTGGCCTCAAGCAATCCTTCTGCCTCAGCCTCCCGAGTAGCTGGGACTAGAGACATGCGCCACTGCACCCAACCATGTATTCTATTTTCTTAAAGTAGGACACACCTGTCTTGTTGGCTCAATAAGGCTACATCTCAATTATGAAGATACTAGAAGCATCACTGGTAGCCAAGATGACATATTTCCCTCTGCAGTCAGAATCCCTAATGAACTGGTGCGATCTACATGGAAATGGCAGTGATTTGCCTTTGCTTAGAAGGTCTGAGAGCTAAGGATTGAAGGACAGATAGCCAGCGGCCTAATACCCACCTGCCCCCACCCCAAGCCTGTGCCCAGGAGGCAGCTTACCTGAGTGATCATTGGAAAACCCATGATGAAGAAACAAATGCAGCAGCCCAGAGTAAACACTGGCTTGTGTGTGCGCAGGTACTTAGGGAACTCATCTGAGATGGAGGTCACTATGGTCTCGATGGTGGCAAACTAGAACCATATCAGGAAATGAACATCTGAGTCAGACTGTATCACCCAGAAGGTACCACAAAGCCCTCCGCATGTCCCATCCAGGAAAGTATTTGTGTTTTTTAGGACAGCACTCCCTCAATGGGTCTAAAAGGCCTCCTTGGGGTCCAACCCACAAGGGCAGCCAAGAGAACCCAAGCAGGATGTGAGCTTTAAAAAGTGGGCTTCTAGCCCCCAGAGACTTGCATTCATATTCACCCATCAGGACACTTTAAGTTTCACTTTGCATTCGTGGGATGTAAATTACTCTCCTCCAGTTTACCTTGCATTTGCTCTTCTGCTTAAGGAAAAACCCTCTTTGCACCCAAGGACTAAACTCTGAGCAGCTGTCAACAGGATCTGTAATTGTCTCCCCACAGCAATGTCCCTAAAATTGACTTCATATTATTCTTTATCCAGCCCTACAGAATTTGCTTTAGCAAAATGACGTGAAGGCAGGAAGTACACAAGCTAAAAGTTGCCACATAGAACAAAGGCGGAAGGAAGGAGAGAGGATGACTCCCTTGCACTGTTACATGAGCACCCAAAATACAAGGTGATCCTGAGCCCTACAAAGGCACTTCAGCATCTCTAGAACTCTTGGGAGAAGCATTCAGACACCCCTAAGCCAACCCCTCTCACGAAGGGTGAACCCAGGAACAAGGAGAAGGGGAGTCATCAAAAGGAGCCTGGGATAGAGACTGATGGGAAAGGGGCTCACCATAGTGTCAAGTCCAAGAGTGAGGAGCATCAGGAAGAAGATGATGGCCCAGAATGGAGAGAGAGGCAGCCGGGTTAAGGCTTCTGGGTAAACCACAAATGCAATGCCTGGCCCTGGAAGGAACAGACAGATGATTGCAGGCAGGCCCTACTCAAGGCCCCTCTTCCCAGAGCCCAGAGGGCCATCTCTCCACTGAGATCCTCATTTATTACTTCTTATATGCCATTTCCACTGTTGGTTATTTTTTACTCATCTCTATCCATTTCCTCAATAGAACCATGGGATCCTTGAAGGGAAAGACCAAGGGAATTAGGTCAACAGCTAGGAGAACTCACAGGAGAGGCCTAAAAATAGTGTCTAAGCAGAGACTCAGAGGTAACTCTACTGGACTCCACGGCTAAGCTGTGTCCCACGTACATAAAATAAGAAACTCTAGATTCGTGTTGGATGAATTAAGGGGAATATAATTAATTACCCTTTAGAGCAGCAGTACTCAACCAGCAGTGATTTTTGCACCCCAGGGGATATTTGACAATGTCTGCAGACATTTTTTATTCTCGGAGCTGGGTTGGTGGTAGGACAATTGCTGGCATCTAGTGGGTGGAGGCAAGGGATACTGCTAAGCATCTTACAATGCACAAGACAGCTTCCTGCCAACAGAGAATTATCTTGTCTCAAGTGTCAATAGTGCTGAGGTTTGAGAATTGCTGCTCTAAAAGTTGAAACATGACCAGAATGACATTATTTCTTACTTTATTTAATTATTTTTTTTAAGTTCCGGGGTATATGTGCTGGATGTGCAGGTTTGTTACACAGGTAAATGTATGCCATGGTGGTTTGCTGTACCTAGCAGCCCATCACCTAGGTGTTAAGACTGGCATGCATTCGTATTTTTTTTTTCTTTAACTACCTTTCCTCCTATTTAGTCCTCCAGGAGAAAACATTCACATAAAATACGAATCTAACACTTTGGGGATCTTGCCCTGTTGGTATAAATGGGGCTACATCAGTAGTTAGCTGTAGCAGGGGCCAGGGCATGAAACATCAGGTAAGAGGGTTTAGTCTCTAAGGGTTAGATCTGGTTCAAATCCAGATTTCATGACTTACCATCTGTATAACCCTAGACAAGTTATTTAATTTCCGTAAGCCTCAATTTTGTCCATCTGTAAAATGGGGCTAAAAATAGTACCTCACAAGGTGGTTACAATGAACAAATGAGAAAACACAGGTAAAACACTGAGCCCAGTACCTCCCACATCATCTACATTCACAGAATTATTATCTTCTATTATGCGTGGACTATGAACTTGGAAGTTGGCTGTTCCGATTCAGGTTTTCTCTAGAATACCTCACGTGGTTTTGGTGGGGGATGTCTGAGTGGCAGTTTTCTCTGCTATCATAAAGCCCTGCCAGCCATTCTACCTGCCTCATGGCCTCACTGGGAAGATTACTGTAACCAAGGGTGGCTAAAGACACAGTGGTTGTGAATTTCCCTGTAAGTAGAAAACTGATTGATAATGGGCAGAGACAAGTGAACGTGAGCACCGGGATAATCCACAGCCAGCACACGTCTACAACCAGAAATCACAGCACCTAGAATTTTTATAACTCAAGCATAACAGCACTTTTTAAAACTGGAATTTATCAGGTTATTAGTTCCTAATGTTGCCTAAGGCCTTGGGGTATTTAAAATATAAAGCCTCAAATGCCTGAGATACCCCTGCTTTATGCATTTATTGAACAGACTGTAGAGTCGGGCTCTGAAGGCTCCCTATGTGAACATAAAAGAAACATCTGTATTAAACTAAAGTTCGAAACAGGTCTCAAATGCAGAACAACAAGGAAGTCAGTTTAATGCTCTGGCAACAGGCTGATAAGCTGACAGGAAGGTCTTGAATGGCCACTACCAGAGATCCTCAGCTGCTTACTTTAACAAGATTCTACCTTTTGGGCTTTACTGCTTTTTTAGAGCAAGGAAATGATTTCAAAATATTCAGCCTGGTTCCATTTCAGCTGCTTCCCTAAAGTCCCGTGGTGAAGGCATTATTTGCAAGCTAAATTACAGCAGATTCCACTTACCCAAGGCAGATGGGCAATGAAGTCATCTGGGGAATAACATCATTAGATGTTTAAAAGAGTATATGGGACAAGCACAGTGGCTCATGCCTGTAATATCAGCACCTTGGTAGGCCAAGGCGGGCAGATCAGGAAGTCAGGAGTTCAAAACCAGCCTGGCCAACATGGTGAAACCCCATGTCTACTGAAAGTACAAAAATTAGCCAGCCATGATGGTGCATACCTGTAATCCCAACTACTCAGGAGGCTGAGGCAGGAGAATCGCTTGACCCAGGACACAGAGATTGCAGTGAGCCAAGATTGTGCCACTCTACTCCAGCCTGGGCAACAGAACAAGACTCCATCTTAAAAAAAGAAATGGCCAGTCTGATGGAGGCCAAGCTCTCCCACTGGGAGGCAGTAGAGCCCAGTGGCTAGAGTACAGGCTCTATTCCCCATGGATTAAAAAACTGGTAGTGGCTAGGTGCAGTGGCTCATGCCTGTAATCCCTGCACTTTGGGAGGCTGAGGCAGGTGGATCACGAGGTCTGGAGTTCAAGACCAACCTGACCGACATGGTGAAATCCCGTCTCTACTAAAAATGCAAAAATTAGCCAGGTGTGGTGGAAGGTGCCTGTAGTTCCAGCTACTTGGGAGGCTGAGATGGAAGAATCGCTTGCACCTGGTAGGCGAAGGTTGTAGTGAGCCAAGATCACACCACTGCACTCCAGCCTGGATGACAGAGCAAGACTCCATCTAAAAAAAATTTAAAAATTGGCTGTGCCTTTTACTAGCTGAGGACTTAGGGGAGTCACTTGTTCTCTCTAGACAAACTTTAGTTTTCCTATCCACACAATGGAAATAATAATAGTACCTACCTTTATAGAGCTTCTGTGAGAATTAAATGCATCAACACAAGTAAAAAGCTTAGAACAATGCCTGGACATACTAGGAACTCAGAAAACAGAGACAGTTATTAATCTTCTCGTGAGACGGAACCAGAGGGGCTCTGCATTTCAGTAACTTGAGCAGAGTCCCCAGAGATTCTACCATGAGAGCCTCCTTTATCCTAGAGTGCAACTAAAGACACAGCAAGGAGCTCTGGTCAGTGCAATACATCAAGGCCCATTGCACAGCTTGGTAGCCACTCTGCTGTGATAACTATTACAAATTGAACCTGTTCTCTGAGGATATGCCACCTGGAGTTCTGTGCCTTTGGGCAGAAGGATTGGGATACAGGTGGTAGACAGATGGCTGGCTGCATGGAAGTGGGGCGTCCATGCTGTTCGTGAATGCTTATTTTGATCAGCAAGGTATCTGAACTATTATGGGGCAAGGGAACCAAGGTAGTACTTCTAGTGCTCTGGTTAGCTGAGAGTTACCTACACCTGGGAACGCTAAATAAATATGCACATTTGTGCTTATCTACACTGGTCTAACTCAGTCTTTCTGTTGTTGGATAAACATCTTTGTTTGGCTTCAGTATAGATTCTGAACATGAGTCACCACTCTATGGACAGCAATGCATATGGTGGAGAGATGGCTCTGAAAGGCTAACTTCCCTGGAAGCTTTCCCACAGAAGAACACGCCCCCTTCCCTATGCCTATCATAAAAGCAAAAGACAACTTGGTCTCTTCCCCAATCCCATCCTCATCCCCTCAGAATTTTGATAAGGCCAAGATGTAGGATGATAATTTTGGTAGAAACGCCTCTTTCAGAAGGGCGTGGTAAACCAAATTGAATAATGTTAGGTCATTAAGGAGACCCTCTGTTTGATTAAAGACCAAAACTTAGTTACCACTGTTGGATCAGCAAAAATGTCCTGAATGTTTACATGCCAATGTTGCCCAGCAAGGAGGAAGTGGGGCTCGGGTTTAATGCAGGCCTGACCCCAAATCTCTGTCCTGTATTCTGCAGAGCCTCCATTATATCAGGGCAAGTAAGACAAGCCTGTAAAGCACATATAAAAATACATGCAGGCTCAGATGAGCAGGAAAGCTTCCCCAGTGGGTCTAGGAGGTCTCATGGGCCCTCTCCTGTGGGAGATGAGGCCCACTGTCCCTATGCAAGAAACAAGTATTAACACAGCAAGTTAGAACCTGTTAGAAGTGCACTTATCCTTGTTAAAAATCAAAGGAAATTTAAAAAACACTGGAAAGGAGAAATTTCAGAGAAAATCATGGATAATTGTTGGCTGCGTTTTACATACGAGATAAACAAAATTCTATTTGCATTTTTGCAATATCTCCCCACAAATCCCTTTCCTGGAGCAGAAAAGAGTTCAGAATCATTTACTAACCTGGTCTATATCTCAGGATTCACTATCTCTAGCAGCTTGGCCACTGGTTCCAAAAGAACTCGTAATGTCACAAAAAGTAAAACACCTAAGGTCTACTAGAAAATGAGACAGAACATATCTGCTCCAGCCACTCTGCTAGGAGGAAATGAGGTTACAGGACAGCTGGAAGTGACTCGGGTACTTCTAAGGACAAAACCTTCTTACCTTCTCACTTTCCCTCCCTCTCTCCCAGGGTATCTGAGAATTCTCTACCAGGGAGAGCCATTGCTTATCTCCTGGGGCCCCTCTAATTTGGTGCACTGCTGCAGAACCAAACACCCCTCAGGGTTTCACACTCTCTCCAGGGAGAGATAATTGCACCCCTGAAACGTGCTGGCTCTTTAACTCTTTGAGGCCCCTGGTGCACCATCAGCATGAACTGGAGCAGTAATGAATTACCCTTGGGGAGCCAGAAGAGATCTTAGCATTCAAAAAGGTGACATTTCTAGGGCTTAGTTCTCTCACCACATCTAGGTCATTATCCGAGAATTGCAGTCAGCTCCTTGAAGGAAGTTAACTGCCCAGAAAAGCCTCTCACAGGTACACCTCTGGGTTGTCCAGGGCCACAGTCATGCCCCACAGCACCAGGCACAGGACCAACACACAAGGCATCCCATAAGTGTGTGATTAGAGAATGAGATCATAATGGTAAACAATAGACACAATGAAAGCTCTTGATCACTGAAACCTACTAAATATACAAATCCTTTGTGGAATCAGGCTGGGTAAGAGTGAAGAGTTAAACAAAAATCTTGAATGCTCTCTGCAAAATGCATTCCTAATAATATGAATTAAATGTGATAAAAATGAAAGTCTTTATAAACTTGAAAGCACCATACAAATGTTAGCAATTAATAAAAAGATCGTTTGGGTAGAGAGTAAACATTCACCCCACATGCGTCTCCACCCACCCAGCACAATCCAACCTTTCTACCCACTGGGAAAAAAATTGCAGGTCTGCATTGCTAAGTAAGCAGAAGGCCCTGAAAGCACATTTGACCTAACAATCAGAAAAGTGCTTTGTAAGGAAAATGCTCCTCTGAAGTCAGTTCTCTCATTAAGCCTTGGTTTTGACAGGGCCCTCTGCAAGGAATGTCATCCGACAGCAGCCTCTGCCCACATCAGCTCCTGGGGCAATGGTTTGCTTAATAAATTCTCTACTCGTACCTAACAGGTATAACCCTTACTTCTATAGGCTGGAGCTAAATTAAGAGGGGCAAGGGAAGGAGAAGGAGATGAGAGGAGAGGGAAAGATTGCTTTAAAAGCAATCCCTCTAGTTAGAGACCAGCCAGTTCTGACTCTGCAGTGAGCTTCCTGCTTGAGCCTGTCTTGGTCCCTCTGTAAAGAGGGACCGGAGCTCCTCCACCCTCTATCCTGTTCCAGAAGGTCAACTTCTCAGCATAGTATAAATTAGGAGCCTGTGAACATGAGCCTGGGACCTGACCTGCAACAGCAGGGTAACAACTGTTATGTACCTTGGTCTGCCACATTCTCAATGTTGACTTTGCGTTCATTGGCCATGAAGCCGATAACGGAGAAGATGACAAAGCCGGCAAAGATGCTTGTGGCACTGTTGGTGCAGGTTACGATTAGAGTGTCCCTGGAAGGAAGAGACCAGAGTTGTCCATTAGGTGTGCTTGATGAGTGGGAAGGGACAAGGGCAAGAACACACAAATGTGTGTCCATGTGTTTGTCTGCACAGGTGTAGGCATGTACATGTGTGTTCACATCCTGACCACAGACTTCCTTGGGCTCATTTAAAAAGCACCAAAAGGCTCAAAAGATCTCCCCTACTAGCCCTGATCCAAGACCTCTGGGCCAAAGCTCTGACTCCACCTTCTATATAACTGGGTCTCAACTCATCCACTATGATCTGAATCCCCCCACCCCAAATTCATTAAATGAAACAATACACAATTTGATGGTATTAAGAGGTGGGGGCTTTAGAAAGTGATTAAGTCATGAGGGCAGAGCCAACTCATGGGATTAGTGCCTTTATAAAAGAGGCTGAAGGGAGTGTGTCTGCCTCTTCTACCTTATGAGGACACAGCAACAAGGTGCCATCTTTGAAACAGAGAGCAGCCCTCCAGACAGTCTTCCAGCACCTTGAACTTGGAGTTCCCCTAGCCCCCAGAACTGTGAGCAATAAATTTCTGTTGTTTATAGCCAAAAGTTGGTTAAAGATACAAAAGTATAGCTAGATAGAAGAAATAAATTCTAGTGCTCTATAACACTATAGGATGCCTATATTAATAATCATCCTGGCCGGGTGCAGATTAATCATGCCTTAATCCCAGCACTTTGGGAATCTGAGGCAGGTGAATCACCTGAGGTCAGGAGTTCAGGACCAGCCTGACCAACGTGGTGAAATCCCATCTCTACTAAATAAAAAAAAAAAAAAAAAGGTGAGCTGGTGGCAATCCCAGCTACCTGGGAGGCTGAGGCAAAAGAATTACTTGAACCTGGGAGGCAGAGGTTGCAGTGAGCCAAGATTCTGCCATTGCACTCCAGCATGGGCAACAAGAGCAAAAATCCATCTCAAAAAACAAAAAAAAAATCATCCTATAGCACTAAAGATGACTATATTAACAATTTATTATATGTTTCAAACAGCTACAAGAATGAATTTTCAGGCCGGGTGCTGTGGCTCAAGCCTGTAATCCCAGCACTTTGGGAGGCTGAGGCGAGTGGATCACAAGGTCAAGAGATAGAGACCATCCTGGTCAACATGGTGAAATCCCGTCTCTACTAAAAATACAAAAAATTAGCTGGGCATGGTGGTGTGTGCCTGTAATCCCAGCTACTCAGGAGGCTGAGGCAGGAGAATTGCCTTAACCCAGGAGGCAGAGGTTGCGGTGAGCCAAGATCGTGCCATTGCACTCCAGCCTGGGTAACGAGAGCAAAACTCTGTCTCAAAAATAGAATGAATTTTCAGTGTTCCCAACACAAAGAAATGATAAGTGTTTGAGGTGGCAGATATGCTAATTACCCTGACTTGATCATTACACATTGCATACATGTACCAAACTATCACACCGTACTCCATAAATATGCCTAATTACTATGCGTCATTTAAAAATAACAAAAGCAAAAAATGTATAAAGAAAGAAAAACAAATTACTCAGTCTATGGCATATTGTTAGAGCAATCTGAACAAACTAAGACATTATCCCAGGGACAGGGTGACTCTGTCCATCAGAAGAGAAATTGAGGAGATGGGGCCTCGGTCAGCTCCAGGACAGGAACTATATATGAGTGAAGAGAAGGCAGTGGGAAAGCAAACTGTCCCTAAAATTTGAGGGTAGCCTGGGGTTGGGACACACAGGGTTAAGAAGGCCAAAGGGTCAGAGAAAGGAAGCGAGCCCAGTGTCCCTGCCTTCCTGCTTCATCACAGAGTCCTCTGCTGGTAAGATGGCCAGGGTTTCCCAGCCTACCTTCAGACATCCTAGATTCAAATGTGAGGTCACAGCTAAATGGAGCCGCAGGGCTACCCTGAAATCCTGGTTGTCCTGCCTTTTAGTGGCATGACCTTGAGCAATTCACTTCCTTTTCACTATGTTGAAATGGCAGCAATTCGTCTATCTCTGTCCTAGGCTGTGGTAAGAATGAGATGATGCCTGTCCTAAGCACAGCCTAGCCCAGAGCAAGAGTGCAGCAAATGATCCCCCTCATCTGACCCCTTGGTTTACTGATGAGGAAACTGAGGCCCAAGGGAAGGTATTGGACTAATTAATGGTGTGGGCCAGGATTGGAATCTAGACTTTTCTAACTCTCAGCCTGGGTTATTTCTGCTATATCATACAGCCTCGTTTCTAATAAAGAAGACAGCAATGCTTCACCCTTTAATGGTGTTCAGACTAATTTGGGTCAACCGTTAATGTGCAGTTGTGACCAAAGAAGTTCAAACACCACAGTCTGTCACTCAAGGCTATTATGAACTGAAATGTCTTCCTACCACTCCCCCACCCTTACCAAATTCATATTTTGTCATCCTAATCCCTAGTATCTCCGAATGTCACTGTATTTGGAGATAGGGTGTTTAAGGAGGTAATTAAGTTAAATGAGGTTATTAGAGTGGTCATTGATCCAATGTGACATTTGTGACTGGTGTCTTTATAAAAAGACGAGAGTGGCCAGGCATGGTGGCTCACTCCTGTAATCCCAGCACTTTGGGAGGCCAAGGTGGGTAGATTGCAAGGTCAGTAGTTTGAGACCAGCCTGATCAACATGGTGAAACCCCGTCTCTACTAAAAATACAAAAATTAGCTGGGTGTGGTGGTGGATGCCTGTAATCCAAGCTACTCGGGAGGCTGAAGCAGGAGAATCATTTGAACCCAGGAGGCAGAGGTTGCAGTGGGCCGAGATCACACCATTGAACTCCAGCCTGGGTAACAAGAGCGAAACTCCGTCTCAAAAAAAAAGAAGAGATCAGAACACAGCCCCACACAAAGGGAAGACCATGTGAGGGCACCATCCATTGTATCCACAGACTAGTCACAAATGACTATCACAGAACACAGCTGACTACTCAGTGACCTCCAGAGAAACTTGCTTCCATCCTATACATAGCCACTGAGCCCCCACTGTGTGTCAGAGTCAGGTGTGTAAATTAGGGCCCAGGCCTTCAGGAGTTAGTGGCTAGGCCTTAGCAGATGGTTTCTCTTAGGCCAGAGGCAAATCTCTAGCACTCCCTATGAAATGTGAGGATGTGGCCTCAGGTGTCTAATAACTCAGTCCATTGTTGTGTCCTGCTCACAGGCTACCCCCAGATCTTTTAGTCCCTCTACATACCTGTAACAGTTGTTGTGGAATTTGTTGTAAGAAGAGAGAGTGATCAGGCCTCCCCATGCAGCAGATAAAGAGAAGAAAATCTGAGTGGCAGCATCTTTCCACACCTGGGAGGAAAAAGGGAAGGAGATTTAAGATCCGTGAAGGAGACTGGCCCCAGGGAAGGGGAGCCTCACATACCCAGTGCCATATCATGTTTCCAGAGGAAATATCAGGGACAAGATGACTCCTGACATGGACATCAATGAGAACGTAACTCATTTGTGCTGGAAACCAAATGCCCAGTAAATTACCCGGGAGATTTCAACTTCCTCTATCAAAGGTGAGGAACTCAATAAACTATACCACATATCATGCTCATGTTTTCTCTCCTGTAAAGCTAAATGGAAGGGAGAGTCCTTCCTTTAAGTCAGTATACTCTCAGAGAATAATAATTTACAACAGCAAAATATATCAACGGATGCAAAATAAAAACCCTTTTAACTGACATTTCTACAGATTACAACTGCTAGTCAATTTCTAAACTCTGTAGCCTCAATCTTAGTAAAGCAACCTCTATGCTGCTGCAGACTTTATAGTGTCACCTGCCATTAAGAGATGACTTTCCCTTATGTGCAATCAAACTCAATCCTAGCTATGCATTCTTAGCACACCCTGGAAAAGCAGAGTTTTAAGGTGAGAAAATTCAGTTACCCTTCAACAATCACCCCCTCATTTGCAGTTTTTGAATTGGAAATTTTAGAGTTAGATGTGCCTGTACAGAATATGCAAAGAGAGAGTTCAAGTTGTACTGGCCCTGTGTGGGTGTTCAAAATGAATTCAGATGTGTCTGAACCTTTAAAGGGTTCCAGTAAACATATTTTTTAAATAGAATTGCTTGTGGTTTACATTAAGTGCTTTATTTTCCCACAAGCAAAACTAACTTCCAACATTCTATTTTTAGTAACAGAAAGTGGTGTGAGGTGGCCCAGAGCTATTAAGGGGATTTCATTCTTCATTTTCAGCACCTATTGCAACCTCAGATGTAGGACAATTATTCCAGGAATCTCAAAACCCTCAGTTTTCCACTTCTTATTAAATATTACCTGAGCATATAATGTACAAAGATCATCAGGTGCTTGTGAAAGCACACACTGGGATTCCCTGGGAAAGCGGGAGGAAGTCTAACCCTTTCTGCCCAAACCTCCCAGAGGGCCATTCCCCCCAGGGTCAGTTATAAGTAAAAGTAGAAGCCCACCGTGGCATCTGTGAGTTTCTCCCACTTGGGTGTGATGAAGTACCAGATCCCAGCTCCAGCTCCAGGCAGGGTGACTCCTCGGATGAGGAGGATCACGAGCACGACATACGGGAAAGTGGCTGTGAAGTACACCACCTAGAAAAGCCGTGTGCAGAGGGTCTGGGAAGAGCAGTGCAGCAGAGTGCACAGTGCAGGAGGAGCATTGCTTGGGGAAGGAGTGGGGCTGCCACCTGGCACAAGCACATGACAGGGAGCACTTCAGGGTAGTTCTCCTCAAACTCAGCCAGGGCTGGTGATGCAGGGAAGGCACTGGCACCAAAGGTGAGTCAGAAAGAGCTAGAAATAAAGCATCTTAGGGGAGACCCAATGCTGAGGGGTGAGTCAACTTACAGCCAGAAGGCTGCAGGGAGATGTCACCCAGCACAGCTGATGAGTACACAACTTTTTAGGGAACCACAGAGGGCAGGAGGGAGGCTCCATGCCTTCTTCCTGCCCAACTCCTACCCCAACCCCTGGTACAGCACCAAAATTCCACCATTAGAGATGAATCCTATTAGCTTAAGCTTTCCATCCCTGCTTATACACATACCTAAGTGAGGCAATCCCATAAGGTGAAAAGAACATCATCTTAGAGTTAGACACATTTAGGTTCCGATGAAATCATACCTCTGGCACTGAGTAGCTGTGTGACCTTAGACAATGTATTAAGCTCTCTGAACCTTAGTTTCTATACCTGTAAATCAGGAATAATGGCACCTTTTTACAGATAGTTGTGAGGATTCAATGAGCTAATGCACGGATAGGACCTAGCATGATGCCTGATTTATAACAGCGGGTCATTAAATGCTATTAAGTTCAACAAATATTTGTTGAGGGCCTCCTATGAGCTGTGCCCAGCACCAGCTGCACAAAGATTAAGGGACTCCTAACTTAGAAGACCCAAAAACAATGTCTGAGTAATGGGCTAGGGAATTACACACAGGGCAAGATGGACGTTCAGGGAAGGGCACTGTGCCCAACCTGGGACTTTTCTAAGAGGTTCATGAACCTGAGCTGGACAAGTACAACTTAGAGGAGGAGAGGCAAGGTGGGGAGGTGAAGGAAGCACATGGGCAAGGCAGGCATGTGAGGTAAAGCCCTACTCACTCACTATCAGCACAGTATCAAGTTGAGGCTAAGAGTAGGGGTGGGGGGCTAGAGACACTGGAGGAGACCATGTCATGGGAGACCTTGAATGCCAACCAAAGGGTACTCCTGGATGCTGGAAGAGAGGGAGACACCAGCATCAAGAAACATTTGGGAAGTAACATTAGCAGAACTTGGGGGTTCGTTGAATGGGTTGGGTGGGAGGACCTTTCTTTCCATACCTGTCCATCAAACCTCAAGGTGAAAGTGGGCCCTGGGACCAGCATTTGGCAGAAGGGGGAGGAGCACAGGGTGAGACCTCAGGATATGCAGTCTCATGAGCCTGGGTCCAAATCCTGACTCCAGCATTTAGAACTGGGTCACCTTGGAAAGCGACTTAACCTCTCTGAGTCTCTGAACCTCAGCGTCCACACTTGCAAAGTGGCAACAACAGTAGATTCTTCATGGGGCTGTTGGAAGAGTACAGTGTTACTTACAATCCACACAAAGTGGAACAGGCCTGGGGTGCTGGAAACACTAGTACCATTTCACAGTCTGACCTAGGACCCACCAGTCCTCAACTTAATAGCACTGACAACCCTCAGCTCATAGGTAGGCTACATTCCAAAAAGTACATTAAAAGACACTTGAGAGGGTGAGGTTAAGCTCCCCTCCAGGCCCATTCTGGGCTCTCTGATCCATGGAATGACAGCTGTTGGTTCAGGGCCACCTCCATTTCCACCTGCAGTCCTCCCTCCAAGGGCAACTGGAATACCTGCCCTCATGAGAGGGACATAGTACTCCTGCCAAATGCTGCCTGCACAGTGTCGAGTACCTGTCAGGGGACTACAGCATGGTGGTGAGTGGGATTTCAGGGGATCGGGATAGATTCAAGGACTCGCAGCGGGAGATGAGCTGGGAAAGTTTAGAGTTGAGATTAAGAAATAATTCTTGGGAGCCAGGCACAATGGCTCACACCTGTAATCTAGCACTTTGGGAGCTGAGGCAGGCAGATCACTTGAGGTCAGGAGATCGAGACCAGCCTGGCCAACATAGTGAAATCCCATCTCTACAAAAACACAAAAACTAGCCAGGCATGGTGGCACACACTTGCAGTCCCAGCTATTCAGGAGGCTGAGGCAGGTGAATCACCTGAACCTGGGAGGCAGAGGCTGCAATGAGCAGATATCATGCCACTGCACTCCAGCCTGGGCAACAGAGGGAGACTTTATTTCAAATATATATAAATCTTGGGGTCATTCCACTTGTTCAAATGAATATTCATACTTATATATGTATTTAGAGCACCTAATATGTGCCAGGCACTGATAAGTGCTCAGGAACTATCAGTAAACAAAGCAAAGACTCTTGCCCTGAATAGATTTCATTCTAGCTGGGAAGATAGTCAACCAACAATAAATATGATAAATATTATTTGCGGTATATTAGAAGGTGATATGTGGATTGAAAAAATGAAAAATTAGAGCTGGGTAGTGGGGTCAAGGTGTGGGGAGGATGGTTGGGAAGGCTTCAGAAAGAAATCGTTCAAGGAAGAGAAAGTCAGGGTGAGCCAACTGGATGTCTGGGAGAACATTCCAGAGAGAGGAAGCAGCTCCATGGCCCTAAGAAGGGAGTGTGCCTGGCTCCTAGGAACAGCAAAGAGGCCAGTGTGGCGAGAGAGGGGGCACAGGTAAGAGAGGAGATCGGCAAGGTGGGAGTGGGGAGGGCTGACTAGGTGGGGCCTTTACTCTGTGGGCAAACGGGGCTATGGCAGGGACTCAGGCAGAGGGGTAACAGGATCTAACCTTTGGACAGCATTGTCCAGTTGCTATGTAGCAAGAATACTGCAGGGATAACAGTAAGGAGGCCGCAGCAGCCACCAGGCAAGGGACAAGGAATACCTCCAGCCAGGGTGTGGTCAATGGAGCTGATGAGAAGAGATTCCCAACATATTTTCAAAAAGATCTGCCAGACTTACTGGGGAGTACAAGAGAAGGTCAAGGATGACTCCCAAGTGTTTTGGCCTCAGCAACTGAAAGGGTGGAGTTGCCGTGAACTGAAATGGGAAAGTCACTTCTGTCTCTAAACCCAGTTACTCAAGCCCAAACTCCCTCTTCTTGGCTGCAGGTTCAGAGTTGCCAGGGATGGGCTGTACTTCTGACACCAACACCGCTGACCAGGATGCCTTTTCCCTGCCCCAAACAACAGCAGTCTCCCCTCCCTCCTTGTTTCAAAGAACTTGCAGTGCTGGGGATGGAAGGAAGGGGAAGCTGCCAGCTCCTCTCTATTTCTGCCAAACCTGCTTCTCTCCTTCCCACCCCTTGAAGTCTAAGGAGAAGCGAAGCCCCTCCACATGTGATGTTAGGAAACCCAAGGGCATCTGACATCTCAGCGCTGGCCTCACAGCTGTCAGGTGGGGCTGGGAAGAGGAGATGCTGCAAGGGCAGGCCCTAACTAGTCTGACTTTCCCACCCCCAAAACAGGACAGGGATGGGATGGGAGAAACTAAGGAGTATCCTTTCTATCCCCTGACCACCTGGGGTTGCTGAGAAGTGAGGATGGAAGGAAGAGGTGAGGGAAAGGACATGACCGAGACAGCAGTGGCCTACAGGAGGAAATCTCCAAGGCTGGCATTAGTTCAAGAGACAACTGTTCCCACTTCACTGTTGGAGGCTGTTTAGACACCATCATTCCTGAGTTCTCTCTGTAGACCAGGTATATTTGTCCTGTTTTGCAGAGAGGTTAACTGAGGTTCAGGTTAAGCACCTCACTGGGATTAAATATCTCATTCAAGGTCTTGAGACAAGATTTAAGCCCAAAGCTTCCCCACTCTAAGCCACTCTTTTCATGAATGCCATTCTATGGGCCACATGATCAGAAATGTGTATGGCAGGGCCAGAACTGGGGGGAGGCAAGTGAGACACGAGCCACCTAGGGTGCAATATTTACGGAGGCACTCACTGTCAGGTGCCGGCCCTGCACTTCGGGAACCGGAGAGTGAGTGCTTCTCAATTTTGCACTCTAGGCACTTGCTCGCCTCACGCAGGTGATGCATTCATTTTTTAGATGGTGATCATGGTGAACTGAGGGCCAACAGTTTGGTTTATAAATCCTGGGAATGCCTCAAATGTGAGTCAGGTGTGCACGGAGGCTTTCTGCACAGCTAGTTCCCCTGTGTCAGGGGAGCTTGAGAATGCACCTGTTTCTGCATTGTACTGTCAGAGGAATTAAACTTGAACAGTAATGAATTACACTTGGCAGGAGCGGCAATGACTAGTCCATCTGAGCCTGGTGGCTTGACACTTCCAGGCATCCTCCTCTCAATGGGACCCCTGAACAGGTGGTAAGGGTCCACCGGCCTATAGGAGCTAATTAGGTTAGCTTTGCTTTGTTGACACAACTCTCAGGCAGAGGCACCTGTGAGGGCAGGTGTGCTGCATTTGACCTTCAGGCTGCCTACTGATACCCCCTGCATCTGGAATTCTAGCTGCTGGAAAACAGACTCCAATAGTGAAACAGATTTGTCTCAAAGGAAGCAATCTGTCAGTCCCGTTTCCTAAAGCCCTAAGCAAGAGGAACTGGGCTTATCTGGTTGCAGGAGGGGGACATCTCTTTTGCATAAAAATGATAGTGTTCATGGGATTTCAATCACAAAGGAGTTCATCATAAAGCAGGTTTAGCTGTGCATCCACCTTGGCTCGCAAATAATGTTCCATGATTAATATCTGCACAGTCCAGACAAGCAGGATAGTAAATTGTGATTCATTATTTCTGGTGGTATTCATTTAAAACAAAAATTGATCACTGATCTCTGATTGGAAACTTTTCTTAATGAAGCAGAGAGATAAGTTGGCAGATCTAAAAGAAAAACAGACCTGCTCAAAACTTCCTATTCCAGAAAGCCTATAAAATCTAGCACCAAGAATTAAATTATAAATCAGTGGAAAGAACTGGCTGCAATGTCATTCCAAAAGAGTGCAGACTAATAAGATAAAAAGAATCCTAGAGAATATTCTCTCTTGATTTTACAAATGAAAACAATGAAGCCATAATATATCCTGTGACTTGCCCAAAGTCACATGGCAAGACAGCAAAGACTGGGTAGAAATGCAGATTCTGATTTACTGTATGGGGATTTTTTCCCCACTATATCCAAATGATGACTCCGCAATTTTTTGTTTACTATCTACTCTTAATAACCCCTTCTTGGGAGAGAATGTCTTGTATTAGAAAAAGTCCAGGCTGGCTGGGCATGTTAGCACACACCTATAATCCCAGCACCTTGGGAGGCTGAGGCAGGTGAATCCCCTGAGTTCAGGAGTTCAAGACCAGCCTGGCCATCATAGTGAAACCCCATCTCTACTAAAAATACAAAAAAAAATTAGCCAACTGTGGTGGTGGGCACCTGTAATCCCAGCTACTCAGGAAGCTGAGGCAGGACAATTGCTTGAACCCAGGAAACAAAGGTTGCAGTGAGCCAAGATGATGCCACTGCACTCCAGCCTGGGTGACAATTAAAAAAAAAAGTCTAGCCTTCAAAGCCAGATAGACCTGAGTTCGAATCCCACTACTGCCACTTAAAAGCTCTGTGACTTCAGGCAAATTACTCTACCTCGACAAACCTCAATCTCTCTCTACAAAATGGAAATAAAGGTGCTTCTAATGCCTGTGAAGCAGTCAGCACAGTGCCTGGCCCACCGTGTTCAACAAAGCTCTCTTTCTCTTCTCATCTCCCCAACAAAGCCACCACTCTGGAGATGTCAAAGTGGCACGATACCCAGTCAATACAGCAATCATTCAGAATAATCAAAATGAAAGGAGACCATGTTAATAATTGACCATATACCAGGTATTAACATGCATATCTCACTTGATCCTTACAGCAATCCTAAGTATTGTACACTATTATCCCCAGTTTACAGATAGGGAATGGGTTTCAAAGGTTAAATACCTTGTCCAGAGTCACACAACTAGAAAGTGATAGAACCAGGATTTGAACTAAGATTGGTCTGACTCGGCCGGGCGCGGTGGCTTAAGCCTGTAATCCCAGCACTTTGGGAGGCCGAGGCGGGTGGATCACGAGGTCAAGAGATCAAGACCATCCTGGTCAACATGGTGAAACCCTGTCTCTACTAAAGGTACAAAAAATTAGCTGGGCATGGTGGCGCATGCCTGTAAATCCCAGCTACTTGGGAGGCTGATGCAGGAGAATTGCCTGAACCCAGGAGGCAGAGGTTGCAGTGAGCCGAGATCGCGCCATTGCACTCCAGCCTGGGTAACAAGAGCGAAACTCTGTCTCAAAAAAAAAGATTGGTCTGACTCTGGAGCCACAGGCCATCCTTCCGCACATCATTAAGAAGGTGATGTTCTCACCCTCCTCACCTGTCCTCTCCCTGCAGTCTCACCTTCCAGCCTACACTACTAGACACCTATCTGACCACTTACATCATGGTTGAGGTCACCTTGTCTCCATTTCTAGCCATAAGTGACAGTCTTGCCCATGGGATTTTGACTGAGCAGATACTTGGCTAGTCTCTCTGAGCAATTGCATACTGGGCCCTTTGGAGATGATGAAATTCTCCCCCAAGCTCAGCTCCAACCCACAGAAGGCAAGAAGTCCAGGAAACCTCAGGCCATGCCGGGCATTGTTATAAAGGGTCAAGTTACCATTTCCCATCTCCCTGTAACCTTAGAAAAACAATCAATCCAGGCCAGGGGTGGCGACTCACGCCTGTAATCCCAGCACTTTGGGAGGCCAAGGCAGATGGATCACGAAGTCAGGAGTTCAAGACCAGCCTAGCCAATATGGTGAAACCCTGTCTCTACTAAAAATTCAAAAAGTAGCTGGGCATGGTGGCATGTGCCTATAGTCCAGCTACTCAGGAGGCTGAAGCAGAAGAATTACTTGAACCTGGAGGCAGAGATTGCAGTGAACCAAGATCACACCACTGTACTCCAGCCTGGGTGACACAGTAAGACACCATCTCAAAAAAGAAAGAAGGAAGGAAAGAAGGAAAGAAAGGGAAGGAAGGAAGGAAAGGGAGAAACAAAGAAGGAGGAAGGAAGAGAAAGAAAAAAAAGAAAGAAAGGAAAAAAAGAAAGAAAGAAGGAAAGAAAGAGAAAGACAGACAATCACTCCAGTATCATGGTACTTACTCAGAGCCAGCAGCTCCCTCAGGGGTCACTGAATCCCAGCTCTCATTTTACAAAAGGGGAAACCGATGTCCAGAGTAAAAATGTTCCCAAACCCCCAGCCCACACAGCAAATATTCAGACAGAATATTCTTAGAACTAGAGGGCCTTAGACATCACCTAGTCTAATTGCCCTCACCATAGAAATAAGGAAATTGAGGACTTCTAAAAATAGCTAGGAAAATGTGCTTTTCATTTATTGACCAAAAAAAAATTAATGCTAAGAGGAAATCAGAAGCTCAGCCATGTTTCATGGCCCAAGTAGAGATATCCCTACATAGCAAATGCCCTGAGAAGTCCTCAGAACAAGGGCACAGGTCACCTCACTCCTGGGTTGGTTCTCTCTAGCTGGCCTGATTCTCCCCACATTCTGTGATTTAAGGCATACCACCTGCCTTAGGTAACCCTGAAAAACCTGCCAGAATCCACCACTCAAGTCAGTTTAGAACTAGATGACATGGAAAGCACTACTAAGAGCCGTAATCAAAAAATGTCCACGTCCCCAGGGAGAAAACAGTTTTGTCTATGTGGCTAATAGGTGCCAGGATTGGGTGCCTAATGGGGGATGCAAAGCATGCCTGGGGGTGAAAGATGGCATTGAGTATCCTCCCCATGAGACCTGATCCTTCAGAAGCTGGTGGATTGTAACATAATCACAGAAATCGTTGGCCTGGATAATGAGACCAAATCTCAACTCCACAACCTATGGTCTCAGAACCCCCATTACATCCTCATTCCTTTGGCCTTAAAGACATTTTGTTTCATCCTAAAACATGCAAATACCTAAATGGTTAACTCTTCAGAAGATTTTTCTTTTTTTTTGTTTGTGGGCGGAGGGGGCGAGGGGTGGGAGGCAGGGTCTTACTCTGTCATCCAGACTGGAGTGCAGTGGTGCCACCTTGGCTCACCACAATCTCCACCTCCTGGATTCAAGTAATTCTCCTGCCTCAGCCTTCCAAGTAGCTGGGATTATAGGTGCCTGCCACTATGCCCGGTTAATTTTTGTATTTTTTGTAGAGATGGAGTTTCATCATGTTGGCCAGGATGATCTTGAACTACTGACCTTAAATGATCCACCCACCTTGGGCTCCCAAAGTGCTGGGATTACAGGCATGAGCCACCAGGCCCGGCCTTCAGTAGGTTTTTCTAAGGCTGTGAGGAGATGAAGAAATGTTACCATGACCCCTACAGCAATGCCCATTGTGGCCTAAAGTTCCCCAAACTCCTCTCTTTCTGTGGCTTGGAATTGAGCTTGGATGGGAGTTTCATCATCTCCAAAGGGCCCAGCCAAGCAATTACTAAGCAAAACATACCAAATAATTGCTCAGCCAAAATTCCGTGGGCAGAACCAGCTTCCTTTAGTTCTGGGGGCAGGTCATGTAGAAGAGCGTCAAGCTTAGGGTTGAAAGAAAGGATAGGAAGGCCACGAACATGGTGGCAGGAGTGAGGAGAGGGAATCCACTACACAGTCTAGATCTTCAGCCAGCTTCTTAGCAGAAGCAATAACTGACCTGGCAGCCAGACCAAGAGGCAAAAAGCCAGCGGCACAAATTCTAGAGTTTAGGGAAAGTGACTGAATACTATCAGGGAGGTTCCTTCTGCTGAATGCGTGGCAGCCCCTGAGAGGAAAAGAAGGAAATCCCTAATCAGAGTACCCCTGCCATCCCTTGGGTGCTCTGTGTATCTGTGTCTCATTTAACCCTTAAAACAGCCCTGCAAGAAAGGTGTTATTATCCCCATGCTGCAGATGGGAGTGAATTCACCTGCCCACAGCCTCTCAGCTGCTCCAGGGCAGTCAGAATTAGCATCCACAACTCCTGACTCTCTTCCCAGTGCTCCTCCTGCTCCCCAAAGCAACCACCCCTGGGTGTCCCACAGCTTTCTCTTACTTAGATAAATCCAAGTGCTTACTTTTCCTGAAGTCTTGATTCCTTTAGCCAAGGATGCATACACAATCACCCAAGCCAGGAAGAGGCAGAAAGCTAGTGGCCACCTAATCTCGCCAGGATATTCAATCCCTGCAGAAATCTTCAGTACAAAGTACCTGAGAATTGGAGGGAGGGAGAGGGGAAGTGATAGAAGGAGAGAGAGAGGTTACAGGCAGCAGGCTTTAAGCATCCAGTAGAGCCAGGAGCCTTGCACAAAACCCCAGCATCCTCCACCCGCCCCACCATCAGGGACCTAATCACATCAGGCTGTGGGGAATTTGCTGGTCTGGGCTCTTGCCCATAGACATCTGCAGAGACTCCAGCTTAATTTACCCTGCTCTTGATTATGTGCGGGGGGTGCTGCACATGGCCCTGAAGGACAAGGCTGTCAGCTTCATTGTCACTGGCGCATCCTCAGGAGAAGTGCAACAGAAACTCTGAACTGTCAAGGGTGATTTCTGTGTGTTTTCTGTATTGCTCTACTCTTTTATGAGAATTTATTCTAATAGTATGTGTGTGATTTTTAATTTTAAAAATTAGTACATAGTGGAAACTGCATATGCTAAATGACTAAAAATGTGGCCCTGGATTGTAGTTCAAGTTGTGTTGGGCATGTCCTGAGGGTGAGATTGGCTTAACTGTAAAAGCAGGGCTACCTAGACCTTGCTTAAGCAACCCATTCTGAGACAGATAAGCAGCTGCCAACAGAAGAGGCCACCGGTCAGCTGTAGCTGCTACTGGCAACTTGTTAGAGGATGAAGACATCGTGGCCTGCCTGGCCAAATGGCTAGCAGGGCAGCCTCACCCCTGAGCACAAGAGGCAGCTTGGGGGACAGTGCCTGATAACAGATTTAGACAATTCCTTCTTCTCCGCAACCACCCAGCCGTACATCCTCTGTGAAGCTGCTGTGTTTGGAGGTTGGCATTTTTCTGTGACCTGAAGGAAAGGCAAGCCAGCAATCAGGCTCTGCAGGACTGTAGGAATGATGGCCTAGAACGTGCTGGCCTGCTGACAGAAATGCAGGCAGCAACCCCACTCCTGGTCCAGCCAGCTAGCTCAAGAGGCTGTTTGGCAGCACATAGCCATGCTTTTCATAACAATGATGGCCAGCTCTGTGCAAACAGAGCCTCTTTCAGGCCCACACCCTGGCACAACCTGGACTCAGGGCAGATCAAAGCTGGAAAGAAACTTGGTTCTAAGGCACAACCCTGAGGACCACAAGGAAAAGGACCTTCCCCATGTCCCATCACCAAAATGGTAAACCAAATAGTCAATAATTTCACAACTTAGCCATCTCAACTGCTCCATGCTTCAATTACAGGACCTCAAACAAGTCCCAAGGCACTCCTCATGACATTTCTTCTTTGAAATTAAGACTGGCCCTGGAAGATTAGTAAAGACCACCAAAAGCAGGTTTGCAAATCATTTTCTAGTACACCTGACTGCATGGATTAGGTGTACCAGAAAACGATTTGCAAACCTGCTTTGGTGATCTTTCAGATTTCATCATCAGACTCAGGTGCTCAGTGCTCAGGGAGAATTAAAAACTCCCTAATAGCCCCTTGGTAGTTATGGTCAAAGGGGACTATTTAATCAGTTAGGTAACTCTCCCTTCTGTTCTGCAGGGAACAACCATGGTCACTCTGAGTCTACAGGAAAGAAAACCAGGAATAGTAATTAATGACAATTGGGAGAAGAGTGGGGGTATCAGTGACTATTTCTTATCATCTAAGTGAAAGCCACGAACTTGGGGGCTCAATTTATGAATTTTATTTGACCCTGGTGTTCTATTTGAATTATTTTGCTGCCATTTAAAATGGGAGAGATCATACAAAAATCTAGATTTTATTTCCATATTTTATTGTAAAATAGAAGCTCTGGCAGCACTGGCCCATGTTTTCACAAGGCAGTAATAAGGGGAGCTGGTCACCAGGGCCCTCCCTTACGTGTGACAGGCAACCTCTTTGGTTTGCCGCAGTCTCCACCACTCCCTATCATCTCACTTATTTTCACTTTACTCATTTATATTCCCACCATGCCTCTGAGTATATTTGAATTACAACCCCTGAATTAAAGTTTAGCTAGAGAACACTCTTTATATACCCTATGATGAACTCTGTCTACATTTTTCTCCCTTAAGAAGTAGTTTCATGAACTTCACTAAATCTTTCAGTGGTAGCTGAAGATCTTCAAGTATCCCTGAACCTCAATCTTCAATGTCTAGCCATACTGATATAAAAAGTATAAAACTAAGGCAAAGCTGTAAAAAAGGAAAAAAATGAGTCTGTTCTTATTTAAACTGAAACTTTGAACATGACTTCTTTTCTTACTTTTTGCCTCCTTCCCTGAAGCCAAATGCAGATGGAAGAAAAAATAATCTGGTTAACTGACAGTCCACTTAGATCACATTGGATCAAGGTTTTAAAATGGCCTTTTCATCAGCATCACGAATTATAGCTGCACTGATTCTGCCTCTTCTGCTGTCATTCATTTAGCTCTGCTTTCCAGGCTCACAAGACACAAAAATCTGCTCTTGGAATCCAAACCAGAGAAAAACACCTTCCTCTCTAATCTCATCCCTTGGGCCACCCACACCTCTGGAGTGCAAATTGAATTAATTCACTGGATTTCTCTTAGAAGGTAAAAAAAAAAAAAAAAAAAAAGGAAAGGAAAGTCATCTTACTTGAAATACTCTTCACTTCCACTGACAAATGTCTTATTGGCCTGGCTTGTGAAATTAACCATTGTCAAGTTGGGATAGGCAGTCATGCAGAACGTCGAGTTCTTGATCTGTATTTTGGGATGGTCACTGATAACACAGGAATCTGTTTAGGAGAGGACAGAATAGAAATACAGTGAAATCTGTACAGAAAATAAAGAAGTGTCTCTCTGCAGCAGTTTAAAAACAAATGCCAAAAGCATTTGCCAAATATTGGAGAGTAACTTCAGGAACGTATTAAGTGAGCAAAGCCAGATATATGAATAAAAGAACCGCAGAATTATGCTTTCTCCATCAGAGCTCCTAGTCCCCACAACTGCACCTCGTACTAATGACAAAGCCATTTACAAACCACTCTGTATGTGGTGGGCAAGCACTTTTCGTGCATTATCTCTTTAAATTCTCACAACAGCCTATGCAGGAGGTACTGTAATCGTCCATTTTCAAAATAAGGAAACATGCTTAAAGAGGTTAGATAACTCTACTGAAGCCACACAGCTTATGAGGAAGAGAATCCGGATTCAAACCCAGATCCTTATGACTCCACAGCAAATAAATAAATTGCTGAAACAAATTTAATTAGAAAATAAACAAACCTCCTGAAGGGTACTGCTACAGAGGCTTACTAAGAAGTTCACCTTGGACCCCTGCCTGGCATCACATCAGTAAGTACTGAGAATACACGTGCTGCGTACTTTCTACTCTCGAGTGGGTAAGCAGAGGCGGCAACCACGTCATCTACCAGGGAGCCTGCAATAAGACCTAACAGTGTGGTACTCAACTGGGGACATTTTTAATTGTCAAACTTTGGGAACCTGGTGCTTACTGGTATCTAATAAGTAGATGCCAAGGATGCTAACACTAAATAGCCTGCAATGCACAGAACAGCCCCCCACAATAATGAATTGTTCAGTCCTTTAGCCAGGTACGATGGCACACACCTGTAGTCCTAAATACTTGGGAGGCTGAGGCAGGAGGATTGCTTGAGCCCAGAAATGCAAGGCTGCAGTGAGACATGATCATGCCACCGCATTCCAGCCTGCATGATGGAGTAAGACCCTGTCTCTTAAAAAAAATAATTATTATTTATTCCAAAACATCAGTAATACCAAGGTTGAGAAGGGCTGACCTAGGCTGCAATGGAGAAAAGAATGTAACCATGTGAGTCTTAGTATGTCAGGCTTTGTGTTGAACGCCTTAAGGATTATTTTCTCATGAAATCCTCATAAAACCCAGAAGGTATGTATTATTATTGTTATTTTAAGTAGGAAGAACCTGAAGTCTTTCTGACCATTTAACAATGTCAGGCTGATGACACAAATGAGGAAGGCACAAAACTGACTGATAAACTGACAAATACCTTAAATAAAGAATCCACCAGGACTACTTCCAAAGGGCATTTTTGTAAAGGAGCAAATAGTAACAATAACAACAAAACCTTACATTTACATGGCAGTTACCACCTTTAAGGCAGTGTTTTAAGTACTTTACATGCATTGACTAATTTAAGCCTCACACCACCCCTAGGAGAAGGTACTGTCATTACCTCTATGAAATAGATAAGGAAACTGGGGCACAGAGGGATGCAGTGGCTAGCCAAGGCCATACATCAACCCAGGATGCAAACAAGCTTTCCCTTTGCAGTCACTCCAGTGTGAACAGGGAGCAGGGATTAGAAACTCAAACAGCCACAGAAGCCAGGCTGATGACACAAATGAGGAAGGCACAAAACTGAAAAATAAGAGAGAGTGGTGGGGACTGTAGCCAACCAGAGCACTCTCCAGCCAGTTAGAGCCATGCTTTTCCAGAAGTTGTGTCAAAAGACGCAGAAAATCTGTAAACTTACACAAAATCTTTCCATTTAAAAATCTTGAAAATGAGTTAAAATTGCCTTGGAATACCAGAAAAAGTGGCTGGGCAGGGTGGCTCACACCTATAATCCCACTTATAATTCTCTTTGGGAGGCCAAGGCAGGAGGATCGCTTGAGCCCAGGAGTTCAAGACCAACCTAGACAACATAAAGAGACGCCTATCTGTACAAAACATTTTTAAAAATTACCAGGTGCAGTACTGTACATCTATAGTCCTAACTACTCAGGAGACTGAGGGAGAAGGATTGCTTAAGTACAAGAGTTCGAGGTTGCAGTGAGCTGTGATCACATCATGCACTCCAGCATGGGCAACAGAATGAGACCCTGTCTCTAAAATAAATGAGTTAATAATTTTAAGAAGTATATGCAGTCTAGATCTGGAGCATAGGACTCCCAATTTATGCTCTCTATGAAAGAGCAAGGTGGGCAAGAATATGGGTTCAGGAGTTCTATTACTCCTGAGAGTAATAGAGTTCCGTTTGAATGAGTTCCGTTTGTCCAAGCCTCCTTTCTCTGGTCATAGTTGTTCTGGGTTGCAGTAAGGACTAAATGAAGAGAGATCACAAATGAAAAATCTTCATATGATGCCTGGCACACAGTTGGCACTCAATAAATTTTAGCCATAACTCTATCATCATTGTTATAGCTTTTTGTAGCTGGTATTACTCTGGAGAGAGCATCTCTAGTCTTCAACATAATCTCCCACAAGCCCACTTGCCTGCTGTAAATGGTCTACTGCCTCCCACACACACTGCAGAATTTCTTAGAATGTTGGATAAAAATGAAAACGATCATAAGAATCCCTTCCCTTTCAGTACTTCTTTAGACCGAGGTTTCTCAATAGCTGTACCAATGGAATTTGGGGTCAGATAAAGTAACCACAATACGCCCATTGCCCAATGGGCACAGTGAGTCCATACACCACCAAGACACTCCATTGCAGCAGAGAAAGAGGTTTAATCCTAAGAGTCCCTGAACAAGGAGATAGGAGGAAACCTCAAATCCATCTCCCTAAAGAGTTTGGGGCTAGGGTTTTGGAGTGGGATGAAGAGTGCAGGGTGAAGTCATGGGACAGGGAGATGAAGAAATGTATTCTCCACTGATTCAGTTACTCTGTTGGAGGAACTGAATTATTTTTTGAGTCAGTCTAACTGTGTCATCCAGGCTGGAGTGCAGTGGCATGATCTCTGCTCACTGCAACCTCTACTTCCAGGATTCAAGCGATTCTCATGTCTCAGCCTCCAGAGTAGCTGGTATTACAGATGTGCACCAACACTCCCAGCTAATTTTTGTATTTTTAGTAGAGATGGGGTTTTTGCCATGTGACCCAGGCTGGTCTCAAACTCCTGGCCTCAAGTGATCCATCCCCTTGGCTTTCTAAAGTGCTGGTATTACAGGCTTGAGCCACTATTTAAAGTTGGTAGGAGTCTTTAAACTGGTTGGCATCAGCTGTTCTGCTGAATTCAGGATCTGCTTAAGCAAATTTTAAACAAAAGCCTTATGATTCTAACATCAGAAATCTCATCTATAGGAACAATGGAGATGCAAATGTACGTAGTGTTATTCAACTTTTGGTTTCAAGGAAGTGAGTCAAAGTGCAGCCTGACTGATAATTAATTATAATAATACTTCTGTCTAGAATTCTTGTTAATGCTACAAAAACAGCTTCGCTAATTCTTGGCTGTGAGGGCCACCCTGTGCATTGCAGAATATTTAACAGAATACCTGGCCTACATCTACTAAATGCCAGGAGCATCTGCCCTCGCCATCCAGCTGCACCAATCAAAAATATCTCTGAACATTGCCAAATGTCCCCTGCACAATCTCCCTGATCGGGAATCTCCACTGCAGGGCGTCAAAATATCTTTCTATTCAAAGCGTCTTCTTTAATCAAATAACAGAGTTTGCGGAGGATTCCCACCTAATCATAATGAAATATTTACCAAGAAAGCTTTTGTTTCCCCCAGCAGTGACCTGAATGAAGACAATTAAAGAACCCTCCAGGCCAGGCTCGGTGGTTCATGCCTGTAATCCCAGCACTTTGAAAGGGTGAGGCAGGCAGATCACAAGGTCAGGAGTTCAAGACCAGACTGGCCAACATGGCGAAACCCCATCTCTACTAAAAAATACAAAAATTAGCTGGCCATGGCGGCTCATGCCTGTAATCTCAGCTACTTAGGAGGCTGAGGTAGGAGAATTGCTTGAACCCAGGAGGCGGAGGTTGCAGTGAGCCGAGATCAAGCCTGCACTCCAGGCTGGGCTATAGAGTGAGATTCCATCTCAAAAACAAAAAACAAAAAGACCCTCCATATCTCTGTTCTGTAAATAAGCACGTAAGTTATTTCTCGCCCTCCTGCCAAACACTACATCCACCCAAAACTGAAGAGATCACGATCACGAGGGCAAACACCCAATCTCTTGCTTCTGAAGTTGCAATTGTGAAGCACGCAGGCAGCCTCCCTAGGGAGCGTCTCTGGATGTGTAGAGCACTGCCGCCGCAGCAGCACAAGGTCACCGCTCCTGCGGCAATGCAGCAGTGCTCCCAGGCTCCCCACTCGCTCGCTCCGCAGCCTCCTGCCTTCTGCAATATCCCCTCCCACCACCGGGCGGCAGGAGCATGCTTCCCAGGGCCCGACGCCTCAGGTCCACCGGCGAACGAATGATGGGCGGTCTCATCAGAGAGCTCTGCGGCCCAGCAACCCCGAACAAAGAACAGCGATAATGATCGTGCTAAATTGGAAGCTGTGGAATGGGATTCTCTTTACTCGGGCAATTATTAATAAATGAAAGACCAGGGAGAAAAGGAATCATTTAATTAAAGTTCTAATGAAAATGAAGCCATTCCAGAAATAGAAATGCTTTTTATGTTGTTCCTATTTTATGTGACCGCTAGCTCCTATTTTCACGTAAAGCCCCTGGTCTCACTTGGCAGGGCACAGATTAGTCATTCTCCATTACAGATAGTTGGAGAGTTGAGTCACCCTAAAGACGGCAGCCCCTCTTACAACCTGCATAAGAGAAAGATGTGACAAACGCAGCGTCTCCCCACCCACAGATCCAGGGCTTTCCTCTGGGGCTGGAGTGGGTATGGGTGCCTGGTATCTCCATGGAATGTGTTCTTAGCGGCACTAAAAGCAGCTCCACGCTGCACATGAAGGTCACAATTGCTGGCCATTCAATCCCTCTCTCCTGGGATGAGTCCTTTTGCCCAGCAGTCACAGGTTGTGAGTAATTACAGGGTTGTGAGACTGAAAGGCAATTGGTGGGAAATATTGAGGAAAGAATCTGTCCATCTCTTAAGAAAAACTTGCTCAATGTGACCATCTGAGAAACAGCCTGGGAACATCTGTTGTCTAGACTCCTGATTTGTCCAGTACAGCAGTGGGGCTCTGCAAATCAGGCCACCATCACCTTTTCTAAGTCACTTCAGAATTCCAAAGGACCGATGCCCCTGCAAGAGATAGCCTGGTCCCAGGAACAGAACATGCTCATGTGCTGATAAGACAGAACGACACATGGAGGGGCTGCACAAAGAAAGAGTGGGGATTGACCTTGTTTTGTGTTTGTTTGTTTTTTTCCACCAAAAAAATTTAAAGCACTGGCTAACAATGAGATAGGACCTGCTCAGCCTGGTCATATACTCACAGGAAACAATCAGAGTGAAAAATGTGCATTGTCTCCTTGTGCTCAGAGCTTGCACAGTTTTAATGGTTTGTACCAGTTGACCAGGAGCTGAGCTGTGTAGTCTTTGCTCTGCCTTTCATGTCTCCCAAGTGATGGTGAGCCACACTAGAAGCCAGGGGCAGGGGTTTTTGTGCCTCTTGGGCCACCACCCCTGTGCCTGGTCCAGTCAACATGCTCAGCCTACTTTAAACACACACACACACAGAGAGAGAGAGAGAGAGAGAGAGATGCTGTAAAATAAACACATGTTCATGACAGAAAATGCAGGAAAGAATGGCATCTCTCTGGGTCTGCAAGAGGGAAGAATTCATCTTTTTGCCCTTAGCATACTCAAAGTGTTAAATCATGTCCCAGTTCCATCATGAAAAAAAGCTGGTTTTGGTGGGCAACATTAAGAGCCCATCATACAGAGATCACAGGAAGTGGCCTCAGCACAGACCTAGCTGAGGAGAAGAAACAGAGCTATTGGGGAAAGGAGAAACTACTTGTTTCTAGGTCCCCTTTAAGATGACCAGAGCTTCCAAAGTGGCCGATACTGGCACCTTCTATCTGTAGAGTTGTAGACTTCTGCAGCTGTATCACACCCTTCATTTCTTTTCTCCTTACAGCAATACCATAAGGTAGGTAGGGGAAGAACACTTTTATTTCTATTTTTCAGAGAAGGAAAACAGATCCAGAGAGAAGTTACTTGACCCAGATACACATATAGTTAGCAACAGAGATGTAGACCAGAAAGACTTTCTGACATAGCTGCCCTACTTCTCTTTACATTCACTCTCTTGCTCTGGACCCAAGAAGCTGACACTTTCCCCCAAGGCCTCAAGTCCAAATCTATTTCACACCTGAAATGTCTTCCAGGAACACTTCCTGGCTCCCCAGTAGCTTGCCCTCTTCTAGACACTACATTTTTATCAGAGTGGTCTAGGGGTCCACTCTCATGTCTATTTACCTCATGCACTGAGCAGTATCTTGTGAAGTCTGGCCCAAGGATTGCTCTCCTGGACTCTAGGAATTAGACCATCACTTTTCAAATTGCAGACAAGTCACTTGGGAACCTAGTTAAAATGCAAATCTAATTCAGGAAGGCTAGAGTGAGGCTTCTAACCACCTTCCAGGTAATGCTACTTGTCTAAGAAATACTATGAAACAAAGTAAGATTCTACAAGGACTTGTTAAAATGCAAATTTTCTATGCCCAACAAAATCTTTAAATCAGCTTGTGAGCCTGAGACCTGCATTTTCCACAAAGATTTCAGCTATTCATGAGCAAACAAAAATTTGATTACCCTCTCCTCTGGGCCATGAGCTCCTTAAATGTTAGAATTAAGTATATTTGATGGACTGATTTAAGCTCTGTGCTCCCAGTACCTGATATAGGGCCTAGCATGCATAATATATGTTCAATTATTTTGTTGAATAAATGGATCAGAATAGAATAGATCAGTTCAGAATAGACACACCTAGAGCAAATATTTCCAAACTTACCTAATAAAAGTTTGGTTTTATCTTTGCATTCTGGTGTATTCCAAGGGTTGTTGCAGGATCCCCAGGGTAGTACAGACACAAAGGAGGCAAACAGGTAGAAAAGTGTGTAGCAAATAATCACATTGTAGTATATGGCTATTAGGACAGAGATGATCAGCATCGCAATGCCACAGCCTGCAGAAGCAAAAATTCCAGGGGTTCATTCCATCTCAAATGCTTTGGAATTCTTCCAGTTGGGCACAGGGTGGGGACCTAGGCCTAGGCTCTCTTGTACAGGATGGATGCACTAATAGCAGAGTGGGCTGGCTATCAGGGATAAAAAGGCATTCTGCCAGGAACTCAACAATGCCAGAGGTGATCTCAGGCCATTATTCAGGACCCAATGAAGGATGGAAAGAGTTAGTTCTACTAACCACAAAGGCAGGACTCCCTCCCCGGGGCTGCATGGTGCCAGAGGGGACAGGGTAAGGAAGGGCCTGAGGAGGCTGGGAGGCAGGCTGGACTCACCTTGTAGAGCTGGGATGGCCTTCCACACAGACACTGGCCCTTGGCTGGCAAACTGGCCCAGCGACACCTCCAAGAAGAAGATGGGTAATCCAGCCAGAGCCAGCATCATCAGGTAAGGGATGAGGAAAGCACCTTGGAAAGAGAAGCGGGAAGTGAGAGACCTGAGAGGCAAAAGCAGGCTGCTGGCCCTCCTTAACCCTCTGGGATGGGGCTCACCTCCATTCTTGAAGAAGCCCTTCAATGTCCTGTCTCAGCAACAGTCACCCACAGATGTTGAAGAGCCCTCCTCCAAAAAGTGTAAGAGTACCCATGCAAATACACTCCTTATTACTTCTCCACTAGCACATGGCTAGGGATTATGTGCTGATGGGTTTTATTATTTTCTTTTATTATAACATTTCAATTTCCCAAAATTAAGCACTCCCAGAGCTCAACCAGTTCATGCCTTTTACTCACTACTGGATACAGATCGGAAAAATCTTATCAGAGCCTCAGCCCTCCCAGGACCTACAATCTTCTAAGCTAAACTCCAGGAGCCCTTTTTTTTTTTTTTTTTTTTTAAACCTTAAGTTACCTGAGCACCTTCTGCCAACCAGGGTTGGGCCTGCTCTGCCAGACAGTCATTGGGGGATACCCATTCTTCTTCCTAAATCCATCCTCAACCCCATCACACACTTCTCAACACCCTTCTCCATATGAGAAGTTCCTTCCATCCTTCAAAGTCAACTCAAATGCTTTCTCCCCCAGGAAGTCTCCCTTCTGTATCTTCCCACAGTACCTGGCTCCAGGCACTGATCATTTGATAATTTTTATGTGAGAGTCTTATTCAGCCTGTGAGCCCCTAATGTCCTTTGCCCTTCATCTCTTTATTCCTCAAAATGCCCAGTCTAGGGCAATAGTACCTGGCAGGCCTCCACAGACTCGCTGAAGCTTCTCTAGGGTTCTTTCCCTTCAACGTTCTTCGAGGTTGTTTGGGAGGGACTTGGGGATTGGTCATGATTTTTTAAAAGGTTTTGACCAGAAAGTGCTGTTGCATGGGCCAGCGTCAAGGTGGGCACTGGAGACGCCGAAGCGCAGAACAGCAGCCTCAGCAGAGGGAACACCGATCTTTCTTGCGTCTACTCTATGCTGCCGCCCCTCCCCACTTCCTGCTGGGTGGAGGGGCCTTTTGTGCCCCCGGCTCTTCAAGCCAGGAAGGCCTTGGCTCTTCAAGCCAAGGGCTGCTGGGCAGAAAAAACGGGGTCCTGATTTATCCTCTCAAGACGGGGATTGTGCAGTCTTCCTCTGCTCCTGAAATGGAGCGGCCATCCCTCCACCCCGCGCTGAGGGCCGCAGTGCGGGGCAGGCTGCCTCCCCTCCCAGCGCCTGGCTCCCCCCGAGCACTGAGAACCGCTCTGCCGCTCTCCGTAGATCCGGGCACCGGCACTGGTGCGGGCCAGTCTCCTTTTGCTGGAACTCCCTCCCCATCCTCTACCCTGAGTGCTCACCCCCCTTCTAGGCACTGGAAGCCTTTAGTAACCTCCTAGTCTGAGGGCGCCCTGCAGAAAACCAGACTGAAACCTATCTGGGTGCCTCTAATCGTGTGGCTGGTACCTCGTGTGTTTTCAGGGCACCCCCGATGGCAAATACTCTGCGGTGCTCATAAGACTTGTCAAAGTGTCCTAATTTGGAGCTAGAGAGGAAGGGAGTGGTGGCCTAAGTAAGATGTGCACTTTAACCGTCGGGTGGTGCAGCACCTGTGCGTTCCGCTGCACCCAGCTCCGCCTGAAGCGGATCCAAGAGACAAAAACAAAACAAAAACCCTTAAACTGCCGACCTATGGGGTGAAGGAGTGCATTGCTTGTCCCTTGGGTCCAGTTGAGAAGATATGGGAGGAGGCTCTAGGTTCAAATGCCCATTGCCAGAGGGCGACTTGTCACTCAGCCAGGGTACGGAAGACAGCGGCCGGCCTCGTGGCGCCTACTAATCAGGAGGACCAGAGGGATCGTGAATGTGCGGGTCCCTCCTCGGTGGGTACAGAAGAGGTACAAGGGAGCATAGGGGCCCAGCAGCCGATGCAAGTCGAACTGGCGTCCTCCCCATCTCTTTTGAAGGCTTGCCTTCAAAAGCAGCACGTTCCACCCGTTTAGGGCAGTTGAAAGAAACCCGTCTTCACTGAACGATTTTACTAAAACCAAAATATGTTCTGCTTCAAGAAGCAGAACAAGAAGGCGGGGGTGGCGGGCACTTCTGAGAGGTTTTTGACAGCACAGCCCCCGGCCCTTCCCCCTCACCTCCTGGCTCGCCTAAGGAGTCCCCTAGGAAGGTAGGATACAATCCTGAATCGGGGCTCCGGGGCTGGACAGCTGCGGGTTCCCACGGCGCTGTGTGCCCAGAGTGCCGCCGTTCTCTGAACACTATGGCCAGCTCCCGTGCTTACTCGTCTCAGGCCCCAGGCCCCAAAACTGGGTCAGTGGGGGGTTTGGGGCCTGCTCCCCTCTCTAGATAAGGGACTCCCAGATCTAATGCAGAAGGATTACGGCCGCCCACGCCCTCTGTTTATGCACTCATGCCTACGAGGTAAAGGGTTAAAGCCTGAGGAGGCTGCTCTGAGCCTCCCTGCTCGGCTGTCCTGCCTCAGGGCTCCTGTCCCATCCAACCCTCAGGTGCCCGCCCCGCCCCGCCGCAGGCGGAAAGAGCGGAAAAGCCATACCTCCCCCGTTCTGGAAGGCCAGGTAGGGAAACCTCCAGACATTGCCCAGCCCCACTGCGTACCCCACCATGGACAGGATGAAGTCCAGTTTGCTGGACCAGTTCCCTCGGGCCTTATTCTCATCCCCTTGCTCGTCCTCCTGGGGGCGGAAAAGCACATTGTCGATAACAGCCCCAGTAGGTCCACAAGCAGGCCCCTTCCACCCCTCTCCCCGGCTAAGGGTCCTTCCCAGCAAGCAGGCCCCCACTTTTCAACTGAGGATGCATCGGCAAGCAGGACCCCAAATCTAAAGAAAGGATGCATCTACAAGCAGGGATTTCACCCCTCAACCCTGCACTGAGAGTCAATCAGCAAGCAGGCCCCCAAGTCTGATCTGAAGATCCATCTTAAACAGACCCAAAACCCCTCTCTCCCAGATCATACAGTCAGGGCACAACAGCAAGCAGCTCTCCCCAAACCTTAAACCTGTAAGGTGATGACAAGCAGGTCCCTCCATCCCCGACCCCTCACCAATAATTTATTTGGCAAGCAGGCCCCCAACATCATGCCTGGAGTTCCCAGCAAGCAGCTTCCTAATTAACCCTCTCCCACAAAAAAAGCCTTCACCACACCCCTTCCTCAGCCCTTTCTTTCTTTAGAGTGTGTGACAAGACCAGAAAGAGAGCTGCAATGCCGAAGCCAGCCAGAGCCCCTGCCTTACTTTCTTGACCAAACCAGAACCTGCCTGGTCAACTAACTTAAGAAAGCATCCTTCAAGACTAATGCAAGGGATATGGGCAGGAGGGAAATTTGAGGGTGAAACAAGCAGGAAAACAAACAAACAAAAAAGATTGGTATGGGAAGAGACAAGCCATCTAAAATCTTGGGTTCTGGTCTAAACTTTACTGCTAATCAGCTGGATAACCCCAGGCACGCCACTTGCTCTCTCTGAACCTCTGTGTCTCATCTGTAAAAGAGGCCTAGAATAACTGTCCCCTGAAGCACTTGCCAGCTCCAGCAGTCTATGAATCTTTGAGGCTCATTTCTTCAAGCTCACACTAAGATGCTTTCTTGGGGCAGTGCCTGGTCCTAGAATGCCTCACTACAAAGCAGGAAAAATGCGGGGATACCACCTCAAATAAAGTCTGAAAATTTTCAGGACACCTAGACACTACACAAAGCTTTCCAGGGACTCAGGCCACCGCATGCAGTTTCCACCTCCTCAGTCACCCTTCACCTCCTATTGTAGTAACTTGCTAGGTCTCATACTTTTCTACAGGCTGTGGAGGATGCAGCAGCAGCTGTCAGAAGTCTTGAGGAGGGAGAAAGGTCCAGGGTGAGTGTCAGAAAGGCACAATCAGAAAGATGGGCAGGGCTGAAAATCAGTACTTTCAGAAACCAAACATCTTTAACAGCCTCCCTCTAATCCTCCCACACACAGACCACCTCCACTTCTAACCCTACCCTTAATCCTTCCAGGGTTGCAAAGGGTGGGAGTTCCAGCTCCTGCCGCAGTGCGGAGGTTAAGCAAGACAAGTGAAATAAATATTCTTCTCCACCTGGGGTCACAATGTGGGATGCATACTGTCAGAGGTAGATAATACACAGAGACGAACACTCCAGATGTGGACCCCAAAAGGAAAGGCAAGCGGGAAAGTCGATGTTTATTTCTCCAGCTGTGGACACCAAAAGGAAAGGCAGGTGGGAAAGTCAATGACACCACAAGCTCCTGCTGTGTGGGCCTGTGGATAAGTGTGACTGTGTATGTGTGTGTGTGTGTAAACACTAGAGTGACTAAGGATAGAAGGGCTGCATAAACCCTATACCTTACACTGGCACAAATTCTGGTCTGGGCCCCCACTGCTGGACATATGCATAGCCCCTGAGGCCAGGGAAAGAGAGGAGATGGCAGAAAGGCAGGCAGTGAGAAGGGATGAGCTGAAGTGGATGAAAAAGGAAAGAAGAAAGAAGAGATCAAAGAAGGAAGGAGAGAAATTAGAGGGAAATGAAAGAAAATAAAACCCTATATGAGATAGGAGGCCACCAGCAAAAGTTGCCTTTATTAATAAACCCAGGGATTGGGATTTGCCCTGTGGGTTTTTCACGCCTCTAATTAAGTGATATAGGATCTAATGCAAAAGTGGATTCAGATTGGTGGGGCCTGAAGCTTGTGCAATTGAGGGAAGTTACTTTAGGGGAAAAAATAGAAACTTATGGCAAAATCAGACACCAGGTTTTGGAAGGGCCCCAGCAAAGGACAGGCCCTGAAGCTTAAGCTTCAGTAGCCTCAGGTAAACCCACCTCTCATCAAATGAGTTCTCCTGTAATAAGCATAAGCGGCAGTGTAAAGGCTGCATAACTTAAACTATATCCTGCTGCCCTCCATCCCCAGTCACCACCACCGGGCTTTGTTCTGAAATTTCTCCCTCTTTTTGTTTAATTAAGAAATTATTTTTGAAAAGAAAAGACAGTCATTGGCAGGAGGGGGCGTCTGTCTGCATAAAAGGGTGGAATCTATCTATCACAACTGCTTCTTGGATCTGGACCTGGGTTCCCAATACCACCAAGGCTGGGAAGGGGCAGGTCGTGGCCCCTCTGGCAGGGTCACTGCAGCCCTCTCGCCCTCAACTGCCGACCCCAGCGCAGTGCGAGCTTCCGAAGCCCCAAAGCCGCCTCCCGCATCCATCACCTGGCACTGCCAACCGGTTTCCCCATCAGCACACGTGCACCCGCCACTGCCTGGCTGGCCTCGCTCGCGCGGCTGGAGAGCAGGACACCGTGCAGGCCGAATGCAACCTGCTTACCTGGGTGGCAACGGTGGCCACGCTGCCCGGGAGCACGGACGTGATTCCATCCGTGCCCAACACCACGGTGCTCTGGCTCATGTTCACCCAGCCCACGGCCGGGGTATTGTTCCGTTCCAGGGTGCCCTTGCCCACACTCACGTTCGCATCCCCCTCCGGGCCTCGCAGAGCGGGGATCTTACAGTGCAGCGCGTTGCCGGGCCCGGAGCTCCCAGGAAAGGGGACGGCCTGCGCGCCTTGCGCTTCTCTCAAGTCCCGCAGAGCTGCCGAGGCCGCCTGCGCCCGCGTACTACTGAGTTTGCAAGACCCCACTCCTGGCCGCTCAGCATCGCAGGCTTGCGCGTCCGCTGACTGGAAAGTTTGGGCGCCGGTGGAAGCGGACCTGGGCACACGTGGCGGCGGGGCGGCAGCCGCAGGAAGCTCTTGCTCCGGGCTCGTCCTGGGCGCACTTGGGCCATCCGGGTGGCCCTGCGCCGCTGCCGCCTCCGGACTCTTGGCTGGCTGTTTATTCATTTCCTTGGGAGCACTGCAATCCTGCAAACACAATGTCAAGTTCGTGCAAAACAAAGTCACAACAGCTTTTAAAATACCTGTATCTACACATGGAGACGTTCGCAACTCAGGTCCAGACACAATCTCTGGGGAAGCAAATTGAAATCTGAGGTTTTTTCCCCCGAAGAAAGACTGCAATCAGTATTTCTCAATTTGCGCGTTTCGTCAATAACCAGATGATAAACAGAAGCTAATATTCCCTCCCTGGTGGAGGATGAACTAAGAAAAGAGGCAGAAATGTAATTTTGTAGGGGTAAAGGAGGGGTGATGGAAATAGTCCTAGAGTCATGAGCTCCCCTCCTTCTTTGGATTTCACATCACAGCTGTGGGTGCCCGCATCCCCATCACCATTGTAGAAAGATTCTTTAATTTTCCGCCCCATTTCCTTTGTCACTCAACAATGCACATTGCCTTTTTCCCCCAAAGACAAGCTGTGGCCACAAAGCTGATGCCCTGGCACCTGCGAGCGCTTCAGGCCAAATTGGTTGTGCGAGTCCCAGGCTCCATAACCCACCTCCTCCCGCCAGGTAGCAAAGACAAGGTTAAGAATCACGATCAAAATAACTACAAAAAACCTCCTACAACGATAATAAACTAAATTTAAGACAGAGAGTAGCAACTAGGTTTATTATCTTACACAACTTGTATTCACTTCCAGATTCCCACACATGTAAAAGAACATGCAAAGTTTTTTTGTTCGTTTGTTTTTGTTTTTTTGTTTTGTTTTTTTTTTTTTGGCATAACTATTCACAGGAGTCTAATATCCTTCACAACCCTACCCCTGCTTAAGTACCAAAACTCAGGACCAATTTTTGTTTGCTTTTTCCCAGTTTACTTTCAAATGAAAAGAACTGCCAGCGGTGGTTCTTCTATCTACTTTCACCCCTCGTATTATCTCTCAGGGCTTCCTAAACATTAGCGCCAATAATTATTATTACACTGTAAGAATAATCCTATTATCTTCACCTCCACTGCACGCCTTTCCTGTAACCCCCTTTCACAAACACGCAAAATAGAACTCCTCAATTTGCACAAATCTAAGTACCTCGGCTTCAGCCAGCATTTGTCTCAATAGCCTCTAGGACCCAGAACAACTCGCCTCTGTACCGGCATCTGGCTTTTCAGCACCGAGGACAGAGTCCGGGATCGCGTCTTTACAATCCACAACCAACCTCTCAGCTCTACAGCCCAGAAAACCTCTTTGCGACCCCAGGTGAGGCTCACAAGTACAAATACCTACGGCTGCGAGAATTGTTCTCCCCGTCTCCCCCTTTCCCCCCACCCAATGCACAGACATCTCCAAAAAAAAAAAAAATCCCCAAAACGAATCTGCTCTCCCTATCCCCTCAGCCCTCTTTCCTCTTGAAAGAACAAAAGCAAACACTCACCATGTCTGACACAGGCAACAGATTGAACCGGTGGAGGGTGAAACCCGCTATTGACAAGACTGGGTTTGGCTCCCGCAGGAGAGGCGCTTTCTATATCTCCTTGGGAAAGGCCGGGTTTGCGTCAGTGCAAAGCAAGGTGCCCTTGGTTTGACATTTTCTTGATAATACAAGTTTGATAAATCATTACCTCTTTGGATTCAAGTTTTAAAGGGACAACAGCCTAGAGTATGCTGACCAGTTGTCACTCCATCAGGAGGGGGCTGCGTGTTTGGCGTGACTCATGTGGGTCTGATTACTAAACCAAAACCGGCAGGAGGGGAAGACAGAAGTTTGCCTCCTCCTAATTAAGGGAAACATGGGAGGGACACGTCCCACTGCACCCAAGGCAAGGCGCAGCAGCCAACAGAGTGGATCCGGTTGTAGAGGTGGGGGAGGGGGCTAAATCACTCTCTTCTCTTTCCCTTCCGCTAGATTCCATTGCTGTCCTCCCCAATCTTCAGGGATTCCGAAAAATATTACTCCGAAAGAGACTGAGGGTCTGCGTACAGCCCCACAACTCTGTGATGGCTGAAGCGGGCATGGGTCCTGCATTTATAAGGGTGTACCTACCTTGCATGTATGTGAACTTCAGATTGTCACACCCCTACCCTTTCAGTCAGTCAGTCTTGAAGGGATCCTGGGTTTTTTTGGTTGTTTGTTTGTTTGTTTGTTTTTTGGGTTTTTTTTTTTTTTTTTTTTTTTTTTTGCTTAAACATTGGGATCTATTATTTCCGATTCTGTTTTAAATAACTCTGTTAACGCAATCAAGAGAAAATTCTGAGTATAACTGACCATTCTGGTTGCATTTTTAAAGCTTCTCTGAAAACGTTTTAGAGAAATAAAAATAAAGCTATTCCCAACACAGACCTAGTTCTTAGGTCACTTTCAAAGTCAAGGGAAACCCATGATTTCTTTGTAGTCCTTTCAATAAAATCCCACCAGAGCCAGGCCTGATTTGGCAGCACGGGACCTTAGAGACCCTCCAAATAGGGATGTCCAGCAATAGGGGTATGCGGGGAGGGCAGAGCTGGCAATCTGGAAAGCCGTGCGAGGATGGTCAACCGCACTGTGTCGGGGATGCGATTGGGGTGGACATGGCGATTTAAAAAAAAAAAGGACTTTTTGGTTGGTACAATGCAATAGCTATAATAAGAGGAGAAAACGCCTTTACAAAGAAGGTGTAGTTTTGGAGACTAGAAAGGGACTGTCAGCAAAATGCTTCCCTTCTCCCCTTTCTTGCCGGTCTAGCTCGGGAACCTTGGCCTCGGGGATGGGGAGATACAGACAGCACGTTGTCTCTTCCCTATTGCCAGCAGCCCAGCCCACTGCCTCGGGGTCCGCGCCGTCGCAAGCGGCTGGGCCGTCCCCACGCGGCTGGAGAACAATGTCGCGGCGGTGGCGGCGGCCGCAGGCGGAGGCTGCAATGGCAGATTGCAGCGGGCGCCGGGAGCACTGAGGGGCACCCTTCCTACCCCTCTCGAGAGCCTGAGAGTGCGTGGATGCCTCAGTTGGCTGGCTTTTGCGCCTAGCCCCTCTAAAGGGCAGCTGGCTGGGAACACAAGGTCTGCAATGTTCTTGTTGGGGGCAGGAGGAGGAGATATTCCTTTTGAGACGCCTTGAGGGTTTCAGGTCGCTTTTTATTGCAGTTTTGAGCCAACGTCTATTGCGATCTCACGACTGAATCATTGTGCAAGTGCTATCTATGAATTATCCGGGGTAGCTTTGGCAGTGGCCTTTGAGAAACGATACTAATTGCAAAGCTGAGGAAATTGGGGTTCAGAAAGTAGCTTTTGAACCCTGGAGAGGATCCCAACCACTTCCCGGGGTCAGTCGCGCTTTCCCCGGGGCCCGCTCGTAGGGCGAGGTCGGGAATGAGGGTTAAGAGGGTAGGGTGGGCTGTGGTGAACTCCGGCTGGAGGAGGGTCGTCTGAATGAGTGGGGCTGAGAATTCCGGAGGGGTGCCTCCTCCCGCTCCGGCTGGTGCTGAGGGAAAAAACCCCAGGCTCTTGGCATTTCGGAGGAGGCCGGGGGACCTACAGGAGCTTCTGCCTAAACAGTCCTCAGTTTCCGAGAGGGCGCAAGACGGATGCGAGAACTTTGGAAGGCAGCCCTGGCAGGCAGGCTCGGGCTTCAGAAAGCTACCGGCCCGCGCGGTACCATGAGGCGCGCACAAAGGTCCGTGTAGGCCTCCCTCTGCCGTTCCCCGGCCAACTTCCACGAACCACAGTCACGACTTCGAAAGGTTCTGGCCAGTTTCCCAATTTGCATTTGAGCAGCCCCCGCAAAGGGCCAGTTGCGAATGGAGCGTCCACCTGAGCCCGATTGTTCCAGGGCGCATAGACCTGGCTGCCCCGGGAGGGAGGGAAGGAGGGGGAGAACCGAGCAGAGGCGGCGGAATCCTGCAGGCCTTCTCACCTCCCCCAGCTGCGGCCCTGGGCCTAAATGACGCCCAGCGCCCCCGCTAGGCCTCCAGGCCTGACGTTTCGCCTGCTGGCCCTCCCCAGCCCAGTGAGCACTTGGGTTCTTGCGTGGGGCCCGCCGCGCGTCAGGCTCTGCAGAGGCGGTGACGCGCAGGAACGGCTGCCGGGTTTGGCGGAGGCGCCGTTCGGGCTTCCCACCTCCCCCCACTTTCAGCCGCAAGATTCTAGAAGGGAGGGGCTGCGTGGAGAATGGAGGGAGGGTCTGGAGCGGAGAGGCCTGGAGGGGTCGCTGTGAGGCCAACGCGGGGGCGGGCACTACCCCGGCTTGAAGGTTGGGGTTTGGGGGCGGAAGAGAGCGTGCGGAGGCGGGAAGCCAGGCCCTGGGGCAGCAGGTCGTGCGTATTGGGTATGTGTCAGCGCCTACCAAGCGCAGAGGATGGAACCGCAGTATTTTAAAAAAAAAAGAAGAAGAAGACGAGGCGCACGTCCTCCCAACAAGGGCCTCCGCCCCCGCCCTCCGCTGACGCCTGTTTGGAGTGATAATCCGGCCCAGCGCGCCGCAGCCAAGCAGGCCGTAAATCCGCATCCATCACCGCGCAGCCGTTCGGTCTGAATTAGCCAGTCACTACGGCCTTAATTACTTTGTCAAAGATGAAAAATAGTAATTGATTTTGTCCTCGATCACTTTGTTCCCTCCCCTCCTTCTTGCAGATAAGCAAATAAATCGCTATTTCTGAAAACTCGTGCCCACTCGGTTGTATGGAGGTAGCCTACTGAAAAACAGGCCATCGGTGGCAGTCCTGACGCCCGTGTTACTACCAAGACACGAAAGAGGAGCTGCAACCCAGGCAGGAGAGGGCCGGGAGGGCGGCCTTGCGTATTCAAGTCGCTGCCCTTCTTTCACTAAGGAAGGAGAAAAGGGAAAGGTACCGGTGTTTAAAGGGCATTTGCTCTGGCGTTAGCTGGGCACTATGACACCAGCCTCCTCTGGCCCTCAGGGCAGCAGGCGAGAAAGAGCTACCAGCGCGACTGACAGAATGGCGAAGAGTAGTGTCCAGGATCAGCAGGCCGAGCCTAGCTTTGAGCCCCGATCTGTGTTGACTCCTCTCCATCCACTGCATGAAGGATAGAGTATGGGAGCATGTGTCTGTGTTTACGTGATTTTAACGTAAGAGTCATTAACACCTAAAACCTCCATAGATGATGGATGTGAGGGCTTGGTGTGGGTTTCGGGTGGCATGCCGATAGGCAAGAAGCCACGCTGTATTTTTGTCCCACTTGTCTACTATTGCCCAGCTCCACTGCAGTGTTGTTCTGTGCTAAGAACGTGGGCTCAGCAGACAGACTGCACCCACCTCCTACCTCTACAACCTTGGGGAAAATTCCCCATTAGTAAAATGAGTATAATAAGAATTAACCTACCTCAGCCAGGCACGGTATTTCACGTCTGTAATCCCAGCACTTTGGGAGGCCGAAGCAGGCGGATCGGGAGGTGAGGAGATCTAGACCATCCTGGCTAACACAGTGAAACCCTGTCTCTAATTAAAATACAAAAAATTAGCCATATGTGGTGGCACACGCCTGTAGTCCCAGCTGCTTGGGAGGCTGAGGCAGGAGAATCGCTTGAACCCCAGAGGTGGAGGTTGCAGTGAGCCAAGATCAGCCACTGCACTCCAGCCTGGGCAGCAGAGCAAGACTCTGGCTCAAAAAAAAAAATAAAAAAAGAATTAACTTATCTCAAGGGTGAGCTGAGGATTAAATGAAAGAATGCATGCAGAGTGCCTAGATTGAGGTTGGCTACCTGGCATACTTTCAATAAGCTGTTGTTATTAATATTATTCAGTCTAGAGGAATCATATGTTTGAAGGTCCTCAAAATTCGCAAGTAAGACAAATCTCTCTTCCTGGGCCAGAAGGTTTAACATAGGTAGACTTACATAGAATAGAAAACCTTACAAAATATGTAATGATTGTGCAACGTTTCTCCCTCCTCATTCAGTGTTTGGTCCTCCAATTATCAAGTATTTAACCTTTACTAAATGAAAATTAGTAGCATCCCGGAAAAGTGCTCAAATACAGAAGCTGCTATGAGTTTGTCCTGAGGCATCTTTTGTTTATATCAAGGTAAATTTCAATATAAAGAAAGGGCAAAAGCTTGGAGCTTCATAATCAGTCTCACTGTTCAGTTCTCATCTGAACCCAGGGTGTCAGGGAAACACAAGTTAATCAAAGCAAGCATCTCTTATTATAGCATTTCAGAAGGGTTCATACTTGGAAATCAGTGGTTCAGCTAAATAATCAGTCTGTGTACAAAATGTAGGTTCAAAATTCCAAGACTCAGACAGGCAGGATGCTTGTTCCTGAGTCAGCAGTAATGATGATTCTCACTTCACTGCAGCAAAACACAGGGCAGTGGGTGCTAGAGCAGCAGCAGAGAAGTACATAACAAGATGAAAAGGACATTCAAGGTCATCTATAGCCCACGTGCCTGCTTTACCAGTGAGAAAACAGAGGTCCAATTCAGGGAGGAAAAGTGAGTACTCAAGGTCATTTGGCACACTAAAACAAAGGCTAGAGGCATCTCTTTAAAAAAGAAAGAAAGAAAAAAGAACTATATTATCCTTTGATGCAGCAATCTCATTCTTAGGCATCTATCGCAGAAAAATAAAAAAGCACAGTATAAGAGTATTTACTATAGCATAGTTGATACAGTGAAAGCCTGTGGAAAAAAGAAATAGCCACATTAGATCATCAGTGGATCTGCAGTGTGGAATGATTTACAGCTGTTAAAAAGAATGAATTAGAACCATACAGAGATTGGAAAGATTTTCATGATGTATTGA